CTAACCTGCAACAAGAGTCTGACAACAGAAATCTGCCGGCTAACAACAGCAGCAACAAGCGCATTACAGTGAACATTGGTGTATAGAGATGGCCTACAAGATTGAAGCAGCGCTCGATCAGTTGCGTCGGCATCCACCCCACACTGCCACCAATCAATAGCATCACTGTCATCAAACAAAATTATAGGTTCAACCAATTACAGAAGACACATTTTCATGATGGTAAGTTGGCAACCTTGCTTTGCTTATACTTCACAGCTATATAATGTTGTTGACATAATTTAAGGGTCATTTTTTAGGCAATCTGTAGACTGAGATTAATTCAAGTTAAACCATAATGGATTTCCAATTAGTCTATTATGTTCAAGAGTTACCTTGATGAGCGTGTCAACTACATGGACAAAGCCTCTGCAGCAAGCGGATACAAGAGCGTGTATTGCAGCTTGAGGGCGGATCAAATCGGATCCCATGAGCATCTCGGCAGGCCTAGCCCTGCCCAAGTAGCTTGCCTCCAACAAAGCCTCCTCACATGCCTGCTGAGATGCCCCGCCATTGATAAGCACCTCCAGTATCTCCAAGTGGTCTTCTCTTACTGCTGCTGTTGTTGCATAGCCTCGAAACAGTTTTTGATTCACATTGGCTCCATAACCCTGTCACATGAAATGAGAAAAAAAAAGAAAGAAAAAAAAAGTCATTTCCATTGCTGATTTGGCTATAAAAAAAAATACAGGTACAAATGATCAAAGATAACCCCGAGCGGGATTAATCTCACCCTTCGAGTGTGGGGACACACCGTAGTATTTACCAAAAAATACAAAATAAGATGCAATTGAATTCATTGAACCTCATAAATGCTCGATTTTCCTCAACCTCGCGTCAGTTACAGTATATATTATATACTATGATTTCAAAATAGCAAGACCAAAAATAATTATTAATAATAATCTGACACGTCAGCATGAATGTCTAAACAAAACAAGCACCATGATGCAATTTCACATCAATTTTCCCAAGAAACAAACACAAAATACCAATTTTTTTTAAATATTCACAACGGTCTAAATGAAAATTTAAAAAAATGATACTGATGGCGTTACCAGGAGCTTCCTAACAAGCGTCAAATTTCCAGAATGAGCGGCGAGGAACAAAGCAGTGACCTGCGTCTTGAACTCCTCGTACTCGACACGAACCTCGTGCGCCGACTCGCCCTGCACCACAATCTCTGTCTTCTTCGACTTCAAGCACACTGTCCCGACGAAGTTCACGTCCACGAAAGGATCGCCCAAACACTCGCACGCCGACTTCAAATCGCTGTCGTGCGAAGCGTCCACCAGGCGCTGCGAAACCTCGGCCTCGTAGTCGACCGGAAACACGTGCGCTTTGCTGGAGAGGGTTACCGCGCTCGAGTTTCGAAACACCGTCATTGGCGAAACGTTTCGTCGAATGGAAACCTCTGAAAGAGCTTCGTGGTTGGCTGGCTGGCCGGCTGGCTTTTGTGATTGTGTGTTTGCAGAGATGGCTCTGTTTTGCTTGTTCAGTGTGTTGGGCTTTTGGCGTCAGAGAGAAGCTTGAGAGAGAGAGAGGGAAGACATTTGTTTGCTTGGGGGGGTTGTGTAGAAATGTGAGCTAAATATATTTGACGTTGACTTGGTCAGAAATCAAATTGTTGTGCAAGTATTTTGTTTTTGTTTTTTTCACAATGGGTCCACTGTGGGCCCCACTAATTGTGTTAAGCTAATATCTTTGTAGTTTCTATCGTTTCGATTTGGGATTTGTCATTTTCTTTCTCTCTTTTTTTTTTTGACACAATATTAGTGGCATAATTACTAGAATTTAATGGATGAGATGATTTGTATTTGTATTTAATCAGTTTTAGAAAAATATTATGCGTATTCCATATAATGAATGCATTTTATGAAAAGGAAAAATCAAGCAAATTTAAATTAGGTGTTATGTATAAAGGAAAAGTTAAGCAGATTATGGTAAAGAAATTATCTGAATCTAATTTTTAAATCGTACAAAAATGTGTTGGTATTATTATTATTATTTAAGGAGGATGAAAAAGTGATTAGTATAAAGCTTATGATTATTTTTTGTTTTGTTGAAAGTTAGGTAAAATGAATATTATAAAAATAAATAATTGATGCTTGATCAAGAAAAGAGAAAGAAATTTGGCAACCAAAAAAGAAAGAAAGAAGGAAAAAGTGTTCCTTACAAAGATGGAATTATAATCACCTAATCCGATTAAAATTTATGTGTATATCCAGTGAACCAGATGATTTATATTAAAAAAAATGATCTTTGTAGGGCGTTACTTATACTCTAAAATCATTTCCATTTGAACTGACTTAAAATTTGGAAATGATTTATCCATATTCAGCCGTCAAACCAAATTCTAACTAACCAAAATTGTATTGCTTAATCGAAATGGTTTTGCAACTGGCTGAGCACAAAAAATATAAAAAAATTATTTTTCTGATATCATTTGAGAGAAAAATTCAGAAGTACGAATCATAAAAGCACTTATGAGAGAAGAGTTTCTTATCAAAGCAGTTCCACACGAACTCTAAGAGAAGTATTTTTATCATAGTAATTCCAAACAAACTCTAAGTCATGCTCACGAATGTAGACTCTGATGTAAACTAAATTAAAAGTGATTATCGATACAGCCAAAGATTAGTTCTTATTTTTAACGACATAAGATCCCATGGACTTTGCTTGTCCCACATACACATAGCGTTCAACAACTTCAACTCATCTACTGCCGGATTTAGCCTGCATTTCATGTCCTCTTGGAGTCACAATAACTCACCATTATAACATTATTGTTAACATTTTTATTAATTATATGCAATGTGGAGGTTGCTTGCTTGTTTTGTTTGCGCAAATCCCTATCTATCCACACAAAGTCATAACATTGGTGGCCTGCCGCTGAACCCTAATTTCTTTATTGCATTACGTTTAATTTAGAGACAAAGGATGGCTGCCTACTCTGATATGTACACTTGACTATGGAAAAGGGGTGTCAGCAAGTCAGCATTTCCAACTTAACAAAAGACATGAAAACCGGATGGGCTACATTGGGCAAGTTGGCATGCTGCCATGGCAGCAATATTAATTTTTTTTTTTATTCCAAACAAAACTTAAACAAAAAAGATTAATCTTAAAGGTTCGTTTTGGTACTTTTAGAGTCAGCGTAAAATCAGAGAACCGCATTTTTGTATCATATTTCAATATCAGGTGATGCAACAAGTGATACGTTCAAACAACATTCAGAACAATTTCACATTTTAATTGACATGGTATCAACTTGCAATCATATAGATATTAGGTTAAGTAGCAGATGTGTATATTTTGACATGTACACCACCTTACCAAACTACATATCATAAAAAATGAAGGCTTTGTTTAGGAAAATTTCGAGCAAAATAATGCTCATATGGAATATAGGTGTCAAACGAGCGGTACAGGGTTGACCTGACCCGTTTAGAGTCGGCCCATTTAATAAACTGATCGTGTCAAGCCCGTTCATTTAGGAAAATCACCAATCTCGGGTCATGCTTGTGTCAGGCCACTAAACGGGACGAGATGAGCCCACGCCAAATTTGACTTATGTATTGCTTCTTTTTTATCACTTCATTTAAAATGTTTTATTATTATTTATAATTATGTATATACAAACAATATTTATTATATGTTGAAAAAAGAAGCCAATAACATTATTCAATCTCGCCACAAACGGTCGAACTTATACCGGTGTGACCCTGCCATTAACAGCTTCTCTTTGATTGCAACATTTTGCATGGTGCTGCTGTTTTGGGGAGGGGTCCTCATTGTTAGTTTTCACATGCCATTCATATTCCTCACCTAGGGAGGTATGTTGTTCGTGTGGATATCTTATTGGTTTATCCTTAGGGGATTCTTGGTCCATTGTTGGTGGCTAGTTATGAGTGTGTCGTACAACTCCTTTCTGGTACTTCTTGTTGCCATTCGGCTCTTACTACCAGAGAAGTGGAGTGCCATTACTGCTTGCTTCACCACCACCTTACCAAACTACATGTCATAAAAAAATGAAGGCTTTGTTTAGGGAGTCTTGGACCAAATAATGCTAGTATGGAATAGAGGTGTCAAACAAGCCATAATGGGCCAAGCCATTTAGAGTCGTCGTATTTAATAAACAGGCCCGTTCATTCATGAAAATCACCAATTCCGACCTTGAGTGGGCTCGGGCCGTGCTCGTGTCAAACCACTAAATGGGCTGAGATGTTCCCACTCTAAATTTGACTTATGCATTGCATTTTTTTGTGTGTGTAATTTCTTTTACCATGTCATTTAAACCCAAGACCCTAGTGGCTTATGAGAGAGAGAGAGAGAGAGAGAGAGAGAGAGAGAGAGAAGCTGACATGCAACCACTAATGCTCAGGCTTTATCACTCAGTTTTCAAGGCTAATTTTTTTTTCTTCACAGTTCCAGTATGATAGTGGGTTGTTGTCAAAACATCTACAGAAGAAATAAAAAAATTCACTCAAACGGTTGAGTTTAGTATGTAAATTTTGCCTACCTTACTTTCGAATTTTGAAACCACTACTGGGCTCAACTTCTATATCTCTCTATTGGTTCAAGATACTCGAGGCCAACAACTAAGCCCATAATTTCTTACAAATTGAAAACCCAACCCAAAATTTCATGATAAAAAAGACGTAGAGAAGTAGGTCCAAATCATGACCGTTGATCGGTGGACACAACTGAAACAGCAGAGCATCTCTACGTGTAATATCAGCTCATCACAAACGCTCACTCAATCTCAGCCGTTCATCGCCGACGTTATTAAATCGTTTTGACCATTTTATTCGGATGATCCATTTTGCATATCAAGGTTCGTGAACTGGAGCTCTCTCCATTTCCCACCTGAGCATTCTCTCTCTTTCTCTCTCTCAGTCTTGTTCTTGTGATTGCCTGATTCGGCCACGCATCGAGGTTCATCTGCCGCAGTTCTTGCCATGGTAAGCAATCAATTTCTCTATCCGCCCACATCTTTTGTTGAATTTTATTTTTGAGGCTTAACATTCACTGCCCTAGGTTTCACTCTGATTCAAGCTCATTTCCATGTTTCTATCAATCCATATTTGTTTTGTATATTATTTTATTCCGAAATGTGTTCTTTAGTAGATCTTCTGTGGGTTTTTCTTCTTTTCCTCGATTTGCTATCTGATTGATAACAGGGAAAATTGAGCAAAGGAGCTGGAAAGGGCGAGAAAATTTAATTATGAACGGGTTTTTAAGGTATTTAATACCTGTTGGAGCTCTCCTTAGCTAAGCCCATCTTTTAAATAGGCTTGATTGAAGAAAGGTTTTGACTTTAGGTTCCAAATTGGTTATGGGTCTTTCAGTCGACATCTTTATCATCCCCATTATCACCATTTTCTTTTTGTCTTAAAGGTGCTTTGAAATATAGTGGTGATTAGGGAATCACCTTAGGCTTCTTGGATTAATCCAATTTTTGTCTTGGGTGAGTTTTGTGTGAAACTATCTCCCAGGTCAAACGCATGTAGTTTTCTGTAGAGATAAATAATAGGGAACACAGAGATAGGTAAGATAATTCTAGAAATGCTGAATCGAAGATGTACAAGCCACATTTCAATCTTCTAGTGCGTGTGCTCGTATTGCCATCTTCATTAAATAAAGAATCTGTGATAAAATAAATGCTGCGCGTAGGCCACTTTTTATCGTAATATTAATGTTTCATTATGGTTGCTGTGCTGTAATTTGATGTTAAATTTTTTCATCCATGTTTTTTGGAAGTTGTTTCATGTGAACTGTAGTTTTATTTTGATTGTTAACTCTGAAGAATACATGTTAGAGACACAGTTCACTATGGGTAAATTAACTGATCTGACTTCTTTATTGTTAATTCATAGGCACCCATCAAGGGTATTCTTTCTCTGCCGAGAGCAGCTTTAGCTCGTCATCATGGTGACAAGTGGGGCCTAGGGTTGAGATCATTCAGCACTCAGGGTGCAACAACTGCTACTACTCCTCAACCTCCACCACCTCCCCCACCTCCAGAGAAAACCCATTTTGGTGGTTTGAAAGATGAAGACCGAATTTTTACCAACTTATATGGGTTGCATGACCCATTTCTCAAAGGTGCCATGAAACGAGGTGACTGGCACAGAACCAAAGATATAGTTATTAAAGGTGCTGATTGGATTGTCAATGAAATGAAGAAGTCTGGCCTCCGTGGACGTGGTGGTGCTGGTTTCCCATCTGGCCTCAAATGGTCTTTTATGCCAAAAGTATCTGATGGACGTCCTTCCTATCTTGTTGTCAATGCTGATGAAAGTGAACCTGGAACCTGTAAGGACAGGGAAATTATGCGCCATGATCCACACAAACTTTTAGAGGGTTGCCTGATTGCTGGCGTCGGGATGAGGGCCAGTGCTGCTTACATCTACATAAGAGGTGAATATGTGAATGAACGGATCAACCTCGAAAAGGCCAGAAAAGAAGCCTATGAAGCTGGGTTACTGGGCAAAAATGCATGTGGATCTGGTTATGATTTTGATGTTCATATCCACTTTGGTGCTGGTGCTTATATTTGTGGTGAAGAAACAGCGCTTCTGGAGAGCCTTGAAGGGAAACAGGGGAAGCCACGATTGAAGCCTCCTTTCCCTGCTAATGCAGGGTTATATGGCTGCCCCACCACTGTTACAAATGTGGAAACGGTGGCTGTTTCTCCCACCATTTTAAGGCGTGGACCAGAGTGGTTTGCCAGTTTTGGGAGAAAGAACAATGCAGGGACAAAATTGTTTTGTATTTCAGGACATGTGAACAAGCCTTGCACAGTTGAAGAGGAGATGAGCATACCCTTGAAAGAGTTATTAGAGAGGCACTGTGGAGGTGTGAGGGGTGGATGGGACAACTTGCTTGCAGTAATTCCAGGTGGTTCTTCTGTTCCACTACTTACCAAGGATATATGTAATGATGTATTGATGGATTTTGATGCCCTGAAGGCTGTCCAGTCAGGATTGGGGACTGCAGCTGTTATTGTGATGGATAAATCAACTGACATTGTGGATGCAATTGCGAGGCTTTCTTACTTCTACAAGCACGAGAGTTGTGGGCAGTGCACACCATGTAGGGAAGGGACAGGATGGCTTTGGATGATCATGGAAAGAATGAAAGTTGGGAATGCAAAGTTGGAAGAGATTGACATGCTTCAGGAGGTGACCAAGCAGATTGAGGGGCACACAATCTGTGCTTTGGGGGATGCTGCTGCCTGGCCTGTGCAAGGTCTAATAAGGCATTTCAGGCCAGAGCTTGAGAGGAGGATCAGGGAGCGTGCAGAGCGGGAATTGCTGGAGGCAGCTGCTTGAGTGCTTCTCTCAGGTTGCTTCTTGTATCTATTCTGCATTCATTTCTTCATTCAATTTCCAAAAGTAAGAAACTTAAGGAGAAAAACTATACAAATAACTTCCACTTGCTTTACTTTGGAATATATTTGTTATTTTGTTGTCAGACCACCCATCAGGTGGCCTGATCTGGTTTTCTGAACCTATACACATATGTGGGTTCTCTTGGATTTAAGGAAAGAAAAGTAAAACATTAGAAGGATGTCTTATATGTTCATGTTGAGCAATAAACTTGCTACACTGTAGTCTTTTCTTTTGTTCGTTCACTGGTTGACTGGATATATTACTTGGGAGATATCCTATGTTCTACCTTCTAACTAAGATAGTGAATTGCGGAGATCTCAACTGGCAATTTTGACGTTAATGTGATCAAGTTAAGAACACTCAGAAAGATAAGTAGAAGATTAACTAGCGTTGCTGCTTCTATGTCTAGTGGACTTGATGCATCCGTCATTGTCATCTGAGTAAATTTAGATGTCATTGACAGAACTTTTCAGTGTATGTGGGGGGGTAAATGTTTTCTTCTTTGATACAAGAGATCACTAGGTTGCTGTTGGCTAACCCTTTGATATTTTTCTGTGGGCTAAAGCATTTATCACTTGGTCTAATAAAGGATTTTTCTGCTTTGTAGGTTAAAGCTTGTATTGGTGGAAATCATGGAATAAAATAAAATATGTACCCCAGATTTCGGGAAGATAGGTTACTCAGGCGGCAGCTGGTGGTCCAGCTGCTCGTGTTTGTTTTTAAGCTGTATCAACTCTATGACCTCACTGTCCCAGAGAAACACTGATTCATTGTGGAAGTGTCTGGGCAGGATATTTATGTTGTGGTGTTTCCAGATCATGTTTTCCTTACACAGTTGGAATTTTGTTAATAAATTTTGTTATTCTTTCCCTGTTTTATGTAATGAGATTAATAGATGGGATTGTCAACGTTTTTCTGGGTAGAGTGTATAGATGGGATTGTCAACGTTTTTCTTCTGCAGCTTGAGATGATTGACCTAAAGGGTGTAAACTGTGTAATTACTAATTATCACAAAGTCGAGCTTTCGGCCTTGACGGCCGTTGCATTTCTGGTTGTTGAATTGAGAAGATTGGGCTAAGGACTAAGCCCAAACTCTAAGGTTGTCATGATCCCCAGCAATGTTTCATGCGTCAAACCCATTAGTCAAAAGCATTCAAGAATTTCTTGACCAAAAAAATAAAGAAAAACATTCAAGAATTCACAGTAGTTGATATCTTAAGCATCCAAAATCTCCATTATCAACCCCTGGAACTTTTACCAACTACCATTTTAATCATGTTGAAATGGATGTTTTCCTACCGTTTGATAAAGAGAGAAAAACTTGAAATTGATGCTTCAACCTCCCGAGTCCCGACTATTAGTAGAAAACAACTAATTTAATTACAAATAATAATAAAAACGTGAGTTATAAAAGGAACAACGACGCCAAGAAATATGAACAAATTAAAATGAAACTGGTGACTCGTGCCCCATTCTAACTTGTTAGCCTTGTGTTACAATCAAAGATCAACAGATCTCGAATTCGAACAATATTTTGCCTCTGTGCCACAATCTAAAGAAAAGTTATGATCGAAGGTTTTCTAAGAACTTGTTAACTTTGTGGTACAACCAAAGGTCAGGTATTGAGTTCGATTGGCATCGAATCGGCGAAGTTCAGCCGAAAGTGAAGCGAGACCTTACCAACTTTTTGCTTAACGGGCCAATAAATTAAGGGTCCAAAGAAGATGCAGAGCCCAATAGAATGATTCAACCTGTTAGCGGGCAAAAGAAAAGGCCCAGATCTACTTAAGCGAGAGCGACAGTTGCTTCCCGCAAAACGCGGTTATCATACATCATCCTCTTCTTCCTTTAACGAACGACTTTTTATTTCCTCTTTCGTATTCTCACGCACGCACATTTTCAATTTTTCTCATTTTGACGCAACGTAGAAAAGTGAAGCAGAGACACAGAGGAAACAAGAAGCAGTGGCCAGACCAACAGAGTCTCGTGCTTTTCTTCATTCTCTCCCACATTCCTCTCTCTCTCTCTCTCTCTCTCTCTCTCTCTCTCCTTTAACTCATTGTAAGTTCGCTCACATTTCTTTGATTCTTCCAAGCTCCGATCTTCGTTGACGTGGCTGCAATTCCAATTGCTTGTTATTGTCTTCTTCACTCTGATTCCGATCTAATTCTGAGTTCCGTTTCTCTGTATCAATATTTGGACGAATAAGTCAACATTTTTTGTTTTTTGGTTGATTCACTGCTGCTGTTCTGATCACCCTTTTTGTCCGTTTCAATTTTGGCTTGTTTTGTTCGTATTTTCAAAGAACAGGTAGGCCAGAGGTTTTGTCACCGTGCGTTTGAGGCTTTTGTCAGCATTTGTTTATCAAAAGCAGCTGAATGAGTGCGGTGGGTGATTGCCCAAAAATTATTAAACCTCCCCACGTTCTATCTTGTACTCATTTTGTCTCTCATGGTAAAAAATTATCTGCCCATTATTTTTCTTTTGCATTTTGTTTGTTGTTTATTGAAATTCATCACTGTGCATTGAATCTTATTATTAAATTAAATTCATAGAATAGAGTTGAGAATTTGAAAATGTTTTTTTCTTAGTCTTTCTTTGTTCCCCTTTTATCTGATTTTGTGAAGTGTATCTATGTAAGAAGGTTTCATGGATGTAGAAGCATTGTAACTGGTCCTACCCATCAAGAGCTTTCCAGGCACTTCTCATAACAATGGTTCTGGGGATAAGAACAAAGAGCAGGAAGAGCACAGCTGTTCAGGTTGATTACCTTATCCATGTGCTGGAGATTAAACCATGGCCCTCATCTCAGGCTTTGAGATCTGTACAGTCTGTGTTGCTTCAATGGGAAAATGGTGATCATGTTTCTGGATCCTTTACTTGTAACGTTGGAGATGGGAAGATCGAATTCGGCGAGTCTTTCACCCTTCCAGTCACTTTGTACAGGGAGAAATCAAGAAAAAGCACTGTACGTGATACTTACCAGAAGAACAACTTGGAATTTTACTTGTATGAACCTCGAAAAGACAAGGCAGTGAAAGGTCAACTGTTGGCATCAGCCGTGATAAATCTTGCAGATTATGGGATCATCATAGAAACCAGAAATGTGAGCACTCCATTGAACTGGAAGAAAAGCTTTAAGAGTTCCGCCCAACCGGTTCTTTATGTTAATGTTCAGCCATGTGTTAAACCTAGCTCCAGCTTGTCACCAAAGGGCAGCTTGTCCAGAGATGTGTCTCTGGAGAATGATGGAACTGAATCTGTTCCTGAGTCCATGAATGATGGCAATGATGAGATTGCCTCATTTACTGATGATGATGAAGATGATGATGATGATGATGGTGTTTCCTCACATTCATCACATACTGTAACCTCCTCTGCTTTTGAGAAAACAGTCAGTTCATTACCTAGCAGCAGTGAAAAGGTATGTGGAGCTAATTTAATAAGTTTTCCTTTTTAGATTAACTTCTGTGCTTTTCTGCTCTTATAATTTTGAAAATTCCGTGTGAAAGTCCTTACTCTGTGATTAGTGGTACAGAATATGATATATATATTTCTTTTTTTGTATGATTTCTCCAGTTTAAATATCCTTGCATCTAATTTATTATGTAGAATTAGGTTTATCGAATTTAATTTAATTGCAGATCCATGGCCGTACAATGAACAAACTACGTACCTTAACTTAAGATCTTCAAATACAATATCTGAGAATCCAAATCATCTGCTCATGAGTACTAGCATCATCATAATTTTCATACTCATTTGCATAGGTATGTCCAAAGAAAACTACATAATGATGTGGTTGCAATCATCCAGCCGGTTTACTTTAATATCTGGGCTACTTCTGCATCAATCAAATGGTGGACCATTATTGCAGATCATTTACTGCACTAGAACAATTTCTGATACCATGATTGTGTTTGATCTGATGGGTTGCTTATCTTTGTCTAAGCGAATTCATTTGTGTATCTTCAGATTGTTTAACAGCCATATATAACTAATTGCAGAATGAATCAGAATCAACAACTGATAGCACTAGACGGCTTTATGGGGAGCCTGCCGTTGAGTCAATAGCAACATCTGCAAGCACAGGGGCAACTCCAGTGGCTAAAGCATTCAAAAACCAAAATGGAAGTTCATCTCCATCATCGTCAATAGGCTCTTCCTCCATTCTGCTGAACCCTACAAATGATCCTGCTTCTTTTCCTAACGTTCCAAGGGAGAGCTCAATGCCAACCCTGAAAAAATCTCTCACTCCCTCTGTTCACTCATCTTCTTCATCCTTTGGCCATCAAGAAAGCCATAAAAAATCTGGTAACCATAATATTAAGGACAACAGAATTAATATTGTCAGTAACCATGCTACTGAAGGTGCATCCTCAAGCACGCCTATTCAGGAGGACACAGACTCAGTATTTGCAAGCAATGCAGATTCGCAAGCTAATCGAGAGGATGGTCATCTCCTAAAGGTGAAAGAATATTCATTTGATGACAAATTAGCTTCCAGATTTTCACAAGACACTACCAGAAAGCAAGTCAGGTTAAAGAGTGAAACTTTTACAATCGGCAGGAATACTGTTGGAGTGCAGGGCAGTAAGGTTAAAAGTAATGAATTAAAGCATGTAAAGTCTTTGCAGTTACCTTTTGTCTCAGCTCAGAACAATAGACTTCCAAGCAATAATGAGTTTGTCGAGAAGTCAAAGGAAGCTGATATTCCTGAAGATGTTCATGTTTGTGGTATGATTAGTGGAACAAGTGAAAGAGAGGAAACAACAACCAGATTTTCTGATAGTAAAGTTGACTTGGAGTCCACAATTGAATTGCTTAAGGAAGAATTGAGAGAAGCTGCTGCTGTTGAGGTTGGCCTTTACTCAGTTGCCGCTGAGCATGGGAGCTCTGCAAATAAGATTCATGCTCCTGCTCGAAGACTGTCTAGATTCTATTTAAATGCTTGCAAAACGAGCTCTCAAGCTAAGAAGGGAAACGCAGCAAGAGCGGCTATTACTGGATTGATTTTGGTGTCTAAAGCATGTGGAAATGATGTTCCAAGGTACTTGAAGCTAAATAAATGGAAGATCAATAATATACTGGCTATGCCTCATCGTAAAACTAATGATGTTCTAATATGCAAATCAGAGTAACCAGAATCCCTAGTAATAAGTGATCCAGAGGATATTTGACTGTCTGTTTCGGGATACAAATGACACATGAAACGGATCAGGATGCACCATAAACCGATTGGCTACGAATAGTATCTTTGTCCCCATGGGCCATATATATTTTTCCCTTTTCTTTTTCCCTTAATGATCCAAATCATTTAATATGATGATTTCTAAAAGGATGTTAAAATACTTCTCTTTTAGTTTGACAGTTTATTATATGTGTTGATGCCAATAAACAGGTTGACATTCTGGTTGTCGAATTCAATTGTGTTGAGAGGTATCATCAGCCAGACCTTAAGGAAACCACAAATTTCTGCTCAACCCCGGACTAAAATTAATGCTGGGGGGCTTTTATCAGCAAAGAATGGGTTTCCTCCTCACAAGGAAGAGAATGATAGGACTCTTGAAAGTTTTGATAATTGGGAAGATCCACAGATATTTATGGCCGCTTTGGAAAAGTTTGAAGGTTGGATCTTCTCCCGAATTGTTGAGTCTGTATGGTGGCAGGTAAATCCATGTTGTTTTCAGTTTTCTTCATTATTGTCATCATCATCTTTTTTCGTTCTTTCAATACTGAGCTCTATCTACAGGAAGTTTAGATCTGAAAGTCCTTGCTATTCATGTCTGATATTGTATCTTGTTTTCCCTTCTCCAGAATATGACTCCATATATGCAGTCAGCAGCTGCCAAGGGCTCAAGCTCAAGGAAAACCTATGGAAGGAAGTACGGTTTGGGTGGTCATGAGCAGGGTAATTTTTCTATGGAGCTGTGGAAAAAGGCTTTCAAAGATGCCTGTGAAAGGCTTTGTCCTGCAAGAGCTGGTGGACATGAGTGTGGTTGCTTGCCTCTGCTGGCTCGTTTGGTATGTTTATGCATTACCATCCCTTCCTCAATGTGCACATTGAGCTTTTCACTTCACCTGGAAACCCCTAAAGGTTAACATAAGAATATTGGAGCTCAACACTCGGTGCACATGCTATAGTTAGCCCGAGCTATACCACCAATGTTTGAATGAAAACATATCTAGTGTTTTATTTTATGTGTCCAACTTCCAGTAGATTCCAATACTACATTAGAGTGAGCTTTTACTATTTCAGCATGTTTCCATATGTCATTAAAAGATCTGTTGCATGATTTTGCTACTTTCGTCAAAATTTATGCATAATTGTAAATGCATGGTTTTTCAGGTAATGGAGCAGTTAGTGGATAGATTGGATGTGGCTATGTTCAATGCTATTCTTCGTGAAAATGCTGAAGAGATGCCCACAGATCCTGTGTCTGACCCCATAAGTGATTCCAAGGTTCTCCCTATTCCAGCTGGAAAGTCAAGCTTTGGGGCTGGTGCACAGCTAAAAAACGCGGTAAGTGTGACACCTAACCGTGTGAGGTAATTAGTTACAATTTTTTTTTTGGGCCAGTAAATAGTCACGTATTCTTTTATATATGAATAACTAGCAGTCTTGCATTCATTGATAAAAGGACTCTGCTTGTCTTCATATCCCCAGATTGGTAGCTGGTCCCGATGGCTTACTGATCTATTTGGTATAGATGATAGTGATGCTCCTGATGATGATACTGAACTCAGTGATCAAAAGCGACTAAACTGCGAAAAATCCTTTAAAGCTTTCAGTCTTCTTAATGCTTTGAGTGATCTGATGATGCTTCCATTTGATATGCTTGCAGATAAATCCACCAGAAAAGAAGTAAGCACTGGGTTTGCGTACACCCCCACCCCCAAAAGTTAAAATAAAGAAATCAACTGAGTTTATAATAACTCCCTGCCATTTTGTAATGATCACTGTTTCATTTATTATCTGCAGGTATGCCCTACATTTGGTGCACCACTGATCAAGAGGGTTCTTTACAATTTTGTTTCAGACGAGTTTTGCCCAGACCCAATTCCTGAAGCAGTTTTTGAGGCTCTTGATTATGAGGTAACCTAGAGGCCCTATACTATCTCTGCAAAAAACTATTCAGCTTATATACTGCACTGCATTCCTGTTTGAATGGTGTAAGACTGATTTGCTCTGATTGATTGTTTTATTACTTTAACTGGCTATTCTCTGGAAACAAGAATCATGGAACTTGGGGTGGAAGCCCTCGTCTTTGTGGGTTTCAATTTGCATTAATCTATTTCACTTTTTATTTATTCAGGAGAATTTAGAAGCTGAAGTAGAGTCTGCTTCAAGTTTCCCATGTGCTGCAAATCCTACAGTCTATTCACCACCTCCAGCTGCTTCACTAATAGGCATTATAGGAGAGGTGGGAAGTCCAACTCTCTTGAGGAGTGGGTCATCAGTGGTTAAGAAATCATACACTAGTGATGATGAGCTTGATGAGTTGGATTCACCGATGACTGCAATCATCATAGACAATTCCCCGGTTTCTCCCAGTTCATTGACAGCCAACTCAGTGCTGAAGTCGAAGGGTGGTCGAAAAGTTGTCAGATATCAACTCCTCCGTGAAGTTTGGAAGGATAGTGAATGATCTTCTCTTTCGTGTATGCATTTGGCGTACTTGGGGTGGGTTGTTCAGTGGTCTCTTTACTTTTCACTCTTGTACAGATATGAGTTTGTTGTATACAACCACATGAATATTAGGGAAGTTTGTTCCAGAGGCATGGAGGCCTATTAATGTTTGAATAATGATACTTGTAGAGGGAATTTTTTTTGTTTAATGGAAGCCTTAATTTTATTTTGATGCATCCACCTAATCTAAACTGGGCAGATGCTATAAACAAAGCATGAGACACAAATTTTTTGAGGATCTTGTTTTGAGATACTACCCATTTCTCGAAACAGTAGCTACTATAAGCAAAGAACAGGAATACAATTCAAGATGCTGAATATGACTACAAAGGCTACAGCCCCATGTATCTCTGTTCATCTTTGTTTGTACCTGCAAATAGCCACAGGGAAAAGTTATGAGACACCAAGCTATTATTCCATAAATACATTAGTCTGTTCATCAATTCAGGGAAATCTTTGGAATTTAGAGATATTAAAAGGCTAAAACAAGAACTATGAATGACGCCAAAAGATGAGAAGGAAACCACACACAACTAGAACATATTTTGCCAGGAAACAGATAGTAGGGAACCAAGAAATCTTACAACTTGGACTCTGCACCAGTAGCCGAACCGCGCATTGTATCGTAGTGTCCATAACCATGATAAAGTACACGGATAGGGTTATCCTTACCGTACTCTTGACCATATTCAGCTATGATTTTCAGGCTACCAGAATCGCTGTCCCGCATATAAACTGTAATCGGCACCCTAGCAATGGAAAGTTATATAATAAGATAAACCTTTTGATCATTGGCAGTCTAAGTGCTTCTAAATCTTAAGCAACATAAATATATCTCTCTAACCACAAAAGGAAGATGTTAAGATCAGAGGATTACTTTAGGACATGTGAGGACATAAGCAATTCAGGTTCGCCTCCCCAAATGTGCGGTTGTCGCATCTGTACAACATACGTTTCAAAATCATCTTCAAGAAACCTGCCAATAAATTAAAAATATAAGTATTTGATTGGAAAATGAGTATAAGAAGCACAATCTGTCTCTTAGTTAGGTGCTTTTCTACCAACTATATATAAATGGAGCAAAAGCATCATATAAAGCAGGGATCCTTCAGAAGTTTACCATTCGGTGTCTGCCCTCCTTTTAATGAACTCATCTGCTACCTGTTCATACACATAATGTTTTACGTAGGAAATCCTCTGACTAAATAAAAGGAAACAATTTTTTTGGAAAAAGTAAAAGAGAAAGGAACAATTGACACAAAAAAGTACAGGGTTATTTTAAGAGAAAATTTTAATACAAGTGGTATAAAATTGAGTTCATTCTGTACTTTCGCTCTAAGCTCATCTGCAAGTTCTCTCTGAATAGCGTCGCTTGGAGATGGCTTCCCTGCTCTTAGACAAGCACCGTGAACCACAGACCGGAACAAACATCTTCCATCTCCAGGTATGCCTGTACAAAGCAAGCATCAAGTAATTCAGTCGGTTTATAAGATCAGTGCAGCACCAACAATTACATCCCAAAAAAAGAAAGAAAAAATTTGAAAGAACCACAAAAAAGGCCCTTAGAAAGTTCTGAAATGCCATCAGTTTGAAACTTAAAAGTAGGTGATATCACAAACACACATTTGCAAATAGTATTACGGCATCAAGAATAAAATTACAAAATTGTATAAGAAAAGGAGAAAAAGAAGAAGAAAGAAATAACAAACCAACCTTGGTTGTAATCCATATTATTCCATAATAATGATGAACAACAGATGGAGGGAAACTTAAATTAAATCAAAGAGAAACAAATACCATGAAGAAAAGCATATCAGATAGTACAAGGCATTCATCTAAGTATTGATTAAGCTAGGAATAACCAGAAACCTTTATTCTTAACTTTGAAAAAAACAAACAAAACAATTCTTTGTAGAAAAATAAAAATAAAAATTTGTTACCAAGCAAAGTTTCCCGTTTCGGCATCGGTTGAATTCAGAATTAAGCAGTTGAGAGAATGAGAAAAAAACACAAACTTGCTTGAGATACCCTCTAATGCCACTTATGAAAGAACAAAATGATGTACCTGCTTCTTGATTTTGATGTGCAATTGAATTTTCACCGTTGAACACAAGTGATGAAGACAGCACCACCTCCCCAGTCCACAGCTTTTCCTTTCAACCATCAAAGGAATCGAATTGGATACTTTGCTTTAATAAGTTTAAAAGTTTCAACCACCAACGGCTAGGATCCGTTACGCGCGCCCTATATCAAAGCTCGCCGTGCTTGCTAATCTTCGGACGGTGCTTACAAATACATAATTCACACGTGTCGGCAACCCAGAGAACTCTCCCGCTGAATTGATTAGGACCCGTTCATTTCCAACTGGCAGTGCGCCGAAAAAGAAACTGCGCCCTTCCAAACATTTATTTGGATTTTGCTATTATCAGGTGCCATCAAATTTAGAGCCCGACACTTCTCTTTGACATAAATATGAGACCAAATCCTTGACCACTTTTTCATGATTATGGATTCCCGGGCATCCTTGGCGTCCAAGGTTCACACAATTTCTCTTCTCACAAATTTTTTAGACTTTGTATTTTATTTTGTTGATATAAGCGATAGTCTTTATTACTTTAAATTAATCTAAATTTTATAATTTTCAGCACATTTGGTTTCAAATTTCATGTTATGTTTTCTCTGAATAAATAAAATTTTCAGGAATCAACAATTGGAATCAAAATGATCAGTGCAAGACGGCGCCCGTTGCACACATGTGCGGTTTCAATCTTAGTGATATCTCACAGAGCCTTCACCATAGCCCAAGGTTTCAATGGACCCTTAGGCTTCATAGTAAAATTTGCAGCCAGAGTGGCCACATTGGGCGGACCCTTGGCCTATGCCTTGCAATACCAATGGATCACCATGGCAATCCTCTCCTTTATCGACAATCGAATTTTAGCTCTTGAAGACATGGTCGAGAGATTCTACCCTCCATCCCGCATTGTGTTTAACAAGATCGACGATCTGGTCAGGGTCACCGAAACCCTACCTGGAAAATTTGATAATGTCATCGGCAAAATCCCCGCTTGCGTCAGCCATGTTTCGTTTTTGGATTGGACATTGGTTCGTGCTATTTCATTGCTGAATTTTGTGGTGGCTACATTATTGAGTTATTGGAGAATGTCGAAGGGTACAAAGGAGAAGGAGATTAAGGTTGATACAAGCAGCAAAGTTGAACGCAACAATGAACCGGGTTTTGTTCATGAAGCAGACCGGCCTAAAGAACCCTTAACCCCAAGTAATAATAATAAATGTGCAGGTGGTGATCAGATTGATAAGGATAATATTATGTCTCCTCATCACGTAGGTGTTACCAAGGGTGCTACTTACAAGGAAGTACTTCTACAGAAGGCAACAAACAAGGCAGGGGTTGAAAAAAGAGAAGAGAAAAATATTAATAACAAGGAAGAAGTGGAGAGCTCAATTGCTGATGATGATGATGAAAGTGATACCAATTCTAAGGATGATGGGCTCCTAGAATTGTTCGAATCGGCATGGCTTATGACGTCGCCCGGAAGAAATGCAAGTAGAAACCACACGCCGCGCTCTGTTTCATTCACTTATTAACAAAACTATAGCAAACAATTCACCACTCTTTTTCATGAATAACACATTTTATGAAAAGAAAACTTCAACAAAATATGCTATTCTGGGAAGAGGGCATTTATACATTTTTGCTAGTTTTGTTAATGAAAAGACAATAAATGTATATTGTTTTAGAACTTAGTGAATTTGTAAATACAAAAATGGCCGTGTGATTTGGGCGCAGCCAAAATGTAATTGTGTATATAAACCTTGGAAGTGAGTAGGATTTGCTTGTTTTAAGTAGAGAATTGAATCAGTTGGTTCTGTAATCTTTACTGAAAAATGTTGGCTTGTGAAATATTACTTACTTTCTTTTCACACCATGAATTTCTATTATAATTGTAATTGATTTACTTTAATTCTTGATTTCCTACTGTAAATAGAAATAGGAATTTATTATTTACTTACTTATTAAAGTTCCGTTGTATTATAAATATGATCTCCTACAAGGAGAAGAATACACAGAAAATTCCCACAAACAAATATTCTCATATTAAATTTCATATTTTAGCATGGTATGAGAGCGGATCTTGGAATTTCTGACTCTAGTTTCAAACCTCCGCTGCCGCTATGGGGGTTGATGATTTTTTCAACCCTCATGGAGGTAGCACCACTGACTCCTTCTCTCATTCTCAACCAATCATAGCCTAGTTGCGTGCCTAGGTGGCTCAGCTCCTACAGATGCAGACTTTGACCCCGAACTCGATCTTGAATTAGGATCCTATTTTGATGACCCCGAACCTAATTCTGAATTAGGATCCTATTTTGACGACCCCGACTACGACGACAACGACCCCGACCTCGACTCCGATGACGACCTCGACCTTGAATTTGTCTCTGATTCAGACCCAGATCCCGACTTCGATTCTGACTCAAGCCCCAACTCAAGCTCAGATCTCGATCTTGATTCCTATTAAACCTATATACTATGCATCTTCCGATGCACAGATTATGACTTCCCCACTAATGATCTCGACACATGGACGAGATTGCACATATTGTGGTGATCCAAGACACACTCGTGAGACTTGTTTTAAATTGCATGGCTACCCTAAATGGTGGGCTACTCTCAAACATCGAACACAACGCAATACGACTAGTAATGGTACTAGTTATGGATCCCATACTTCTTATAAGAGTGATTCCACGAGCTGGATAATTGATTCCGGTGCAACTGATCATATGATGTTTGATCATGATGATTTTCTGAATACTACACAACTCCGACGAACTTGTATTGCTAACACCAATGAAGTTATTTATCCTGTGATAGGGGTTGACAGTGTTGCACTCTTATCCTTTCTCTCACTGTCTAATACTTTACTTGTTCAATCTTTATCTAATGAATTGATTTTTGTTAGTTAGCTTATTGAACAATTGAATTGTTCTGTATTCATTTACACGAGTTTTTGTTTGCTTCAGGATATCATACTAAGGAGATTCTTGGTCGTGGTACTAAAAGAGGGGAGCTATATTATGTAGATAACTTCAGTCCCGACATGGCTAACAGTGTGACACATCCCTCTGATAGTAAACAAAAACAAATCTTGTTGTGGCACTTTCGATTGGAACATCCAACTTTTAGTTATATGAAGCATCTTATACCAAATTTATTCTCAGGTTTCAAGGACTTTGACTTCACATGTAACACTTGTATTTTGGCCAAGAGTCACTGTGTTCCCTATCCATTGAGTACGAACAAGTATACTACTCCGTTTACGTTAATTCACTTTGATGTTTGGGGACTTTCACCTATCATTGCTCCTTCTGGTGTTCGGTGGTTTGTCACATTTGTAAATGATTGTACACAGATGACATGGCTTTATTTGTTGAAAAATAAAAACGAAGTGTTTTCCTGTTTTCAATTCTTCCACAAACAGATGAAAACTGAGTTCAATGCTCAAATACAGATTCTTCACTCAGACAATGGTGGAGAATTTGTCAATCACAACTTTCAGGCTTACTTCCAACCACATGGAATTATCCATGAGACGACTTGTCCTCAGACACCACAACAAAATGGTGTTGCTGAACAAAAGAATCGACATCTTCTTGAAACCACCAAAGCATTTCTGATTGGCACTTATGTTTCTCGCCATCATTGGGATGATGCTATTTTCACCGCAGTTCACCTGATCATCCGTATGCATTCTAGTGTATTGACCTTTAAAACTTTCTTATAAGTGCTTGCGCAACACGGGCCCCTGCTATCTGTTTTAGTTCTCACACCCCAAATCTTTGGAAGTGTGGCATTCGTTCATCTCCACAAAAATCAACATTACAAACTTGATCCCTGTGCTCTTCGTTGTGTTTTTGTGGGTTATGCCACTCATTAGAAAGGCTACCGATATTGTCACCCTCCTACCCAACGTACCTATGTCACTTTGTATGTGACCTTTTTGGAATATGAGATGTTTATTCATGACCCATCATCCAATTCTACGCTTCAAGGGGAGATACGAAGTGAAGAGAAGAATTGGAGCAATTTGGAAAACGAAGAAATTCACCTTTGTATAGAAACGATTGATTGTCCAAACCCAACGATCGATCGTCCCGAGTCTGGAGCACGAGATCGCTTTCTGTTGAAAAGCGATCAATCCCCCATTCACAGTGATCCACCTGACTCGCCTGACCCCTGCGAAGATGTTTCTAATTCGAGTCCCGACAATACAGAACAACGAGGTGAAGACCCACTTCTAACTTAACAGTACCAACAGATCAATCTCCTGAGAATATATGTGAGGTAACTTATATATAAATATAAATTATTTTATTATTTTATAATTTGATATAATAAATATAAATCATAAGTAAAACAACATTTTCCTTACCCATTGGTATAGAAACGATCAATCGTCCCGAGTCTGGAGCACGAGATCGCTCTTTGTTGAAAAGCGATCAATCCCCCATTCACAGTGATCCGCCTGACCCCTGCGAAGATGTTTCTAATTCGAGAACCACACTTACATACAGTATAGAACAACGAGATGAAGACCCCATTCTAACTCAACAGTACCAACGGACCAATCTCCTGAGAATATCTTTGAGGTAACTTATATATAAATATAAATTATTTTTATTATTTTATAATTTTATATAATAAATATAAATCATAAATAAAACAACATTTTCCTTACCCGTTGTGCTTTGTCTGAGATAAGAGCAAAAGGCTAGACGGAAGACCTCTAATTTACTAATAAATCTACTAGCATCCTAAGCGAGTTCGCCGCCAACCATAGTAGCACCATCAGCTAAAATTTGTTACTCCTACTACACTTGTGAATTTAGATGATAAATCTATTGGATACCAATTACTTTTTAGGAAAATCGTGGGAAGCCACCAAACCGTTATTCACCTGATATTGGCAAGACATCAAAGCATCCAATTGCGAATCATGTATCTACTGAGAAGCTGTTTGAACCACTCAAGGCCTTTGTGCATCAGTTGTCTGCTATTCATATCCCAACCAAGGTTGCTGAAGCATTGAAAGATCCTAAGTGGGTTCAAGCCATAAAGAAAGAGATGAAAGCTCTTGAGAAGAATTAGACTTGGACATTGGAAACTTTACCACAAGAAAAAAAGACTGTCGGATGTAGATGAGTGTTTACCATAAAACACAACGCTGATGGATCTATCAAGAGATAGAAGGCAAGACTTGTGGCGAAAGGGTACATACAGACTTATGGTGTAGATTATGAAGAAACCTCTACACCATTTGAAAAATTGAACACAGTTAGAGTCTTACTATCCCTCGCAACTAATTTGGACTAGCCACTACACCAGTTTGATGTAAAGAATGCTTTCCTACATGGAGAACTCACGAAAGAGGTGTATATGGACATTCCTCCTGGATATAATACTACTCAGATTAGAACAATATACAAATTATGAAAGGCGTTGTATGGACTGAAACAGTCACCACATGCATGGTTTGGACGGTTCACTATGGAAATGAAGAACAATGGTTTCCGACAGAGTAACTCAAATCATACACTATTCTTGAAACATCAGAAAGGGAAGGTAACAACTTTAATAATCTATATTGACGACATGATTATTACTGGGAATGATAAACATGAAATAGCTCAGCTACAATATTATTTGGCTATTGAATTTGATATGAAAAATCTAGGTGGACTCAAATATTTCTTGGGGATTGAGGTGGCCCGATCATAACAAGACATATTTCTTTCTCAAAGAAAATATGTCTTGGACTTGTTGACAGACACAGGAATGCTAGATTGCAAACCTGTAGACACTCCTATTGTTTAGAATCATCATCTTGAAGAATACCCGGATCAAGTTCCAACTAACAAAGAAATATATCAAAGGTTAGTGGGAAGATTGATCTACTTGTCTCATACTCGGCATGACATTGCTTATGCGATAAGAATCGTCAGTCAATTTATGCATTCTCCGAGTGAAGACTACATGAATACAGTTCTTCGGATACTTAGATATTTGAAGTCTGCACCTGGAAAATGACTTATGTTCTCAAAACATGGTCTTCTAAATATTGATGGTTACACAGATGCAGATTGAGCAGGAAGCATAATAGATAGGAAATTCACATCCGGTTACTTCGCATTTGTGGGAGGTAATTTGGTTACATAGAGGAGCAAGAAACAGAAGGTGGTGGCCTTATCTAGTGCAGAAGCCGAGTTCAAAGGTATGACCAAAGGAATTTGCGAACTCATTTGGTTAAAAAGGTTGCTTACTGAATTTGGGTATAGACCTATATCTATAATGAATCTCTTTTGTGACAACAAGGCTGCAATAACTATTGCATAGAATCCAATTCAACATGATCGCACCAAACATGTTGAGGTAGATCAACACTATATCAAACAAAAGCTCGAAGCTAAAGTGATTCAGTCTCCTTTCGTAAAGTCAGAGGATCAATTGCCAAATATTTTGACAAAGGTGATTTCCAGTAAAGTATTCCACAATTCACTGGATCAGTTGGGCATTGACGACATCTATGCACCAACATAAGGGGGAGTGTTGGCGTGACTTGTGGACCATTGACTTACTTTCCTTTCACACCAAGAATTCTTAGTATAATTGTAATTGATTTACTTTAATTCATGATTTCCTACTATAAATAGAAATATGAATTTATTATTTATTTGCCTATTAAAATTCTGTTATATTATAAATATGACCTCTTACAAGGAGAAGAATATACAAAAAATTCTCACAAACAAATATTCTCATAATAAGTTTCATATTTTAGCAAGAAATGCAATGGTTGGAATTGTTCTTCGCTTGACTTTATGGTTGGAAAGGTTTCACTGTTATAATCTCCGGTTGGTACGAAAGCAAAAGATTTGATGAAGTTCTTCAAATAAAGAGAGTTTGATTTCTCAGTTGCCTTAAGCGACTGTGAACAGCAAAAACTCTTTGATTAACAAATGGATCTTAGTTTGTTGTTTGCTTCCATTATTTTCTTTCTCCCATATGTCATCTCGACCCACCTAAAACTATTAATTATTGCCAATAATTTTATTCCTTCAAACAAATGGTTCATTATTGGCAATAATTTTATTGTTTAAAATCAGATTGGGTTTTGTAATCTATTATAATAAAATGAATGCTCTACACGATAAAGAAAACCTGAAACTAGAAGTTAAACAACGTTGAGGTAAACAAAATCTATTCCAGAAAATGGACAACGACTGAAAGTCAATTATATATGCAATTTTTATTCCATGGCAAGAAAAATGGACAAAACCTATTTGGAGGAACTTGTGAGAGTATCCATGGCATGAATAGTTTTTATTCAATTTCACAACATATTAACTTAGGTAAAAACAAATAGCTAGGAGGATATTTTATGGCACGGCCATGGCAGCAGCTCTCAGAGGCTGAGCCATCTGCAAAGTGATGCCAAACTTCTCTTCCATGTTCATGTTTTCCGGTACAACTCCATCTTCAAGCTTCCAATTATCGAAAGAGTTAAGAAGTGAACCCAACATCAAGTTCAACATTCTCATTGCCAAGGGCAAGCCAGGACATATTCTCCTCCCACCACCAAACGGGATAAGCTCAAAGCTTCCGCCAGTGACATCCATATCCAATCCCAAGAACCTCTCTGGGATAAATGAGGCCGGGTTGTCCCAAATGACAGGGTCTCTGCCTATGGCCCATGCATTGACTAACACTTGTGCACCCTTGGGTACAAAATACCCGCAGATTTCCAGGTCTGCTTCGGCTTTGCGGGGGAGAAGAAATGGAAGAGCTGGGTGCAGCCGAAAGGTCTCTTTGATTATTGCTTGTAAGTAAGGAAGTTGAGCAATGTCTGTTTCCTCAACTGGTTTCCCTTTCCCAATGACTTGTTCTAGCTCCTCTTGAGCTTTTGACAGTTTTTCCTGGTTGCATAGTAGCTCAGCCATTGCCCATTCCAATGTGGCTGAGGTTGTTTCTGTGGCCGCAACAAATAAATCCTATATTATTCACCAAATGGTTGATTACTTAGTCAGAAAATTAATCGGAGCTAGCATATATGTATAATAATGAACTAATAAAACTACGTATACCATCTCAACTGTCTACGTAGTAAATTCGGTCTTTAAGTCAGTTTAGATGGTATAAACAAAAATAAAAACAACCTTAATATAATCACAAAAAGATACACTCTAATTAGCAATTAGTATGTATAGGAAAGATATATCCATAACTTACCAGAAACAAATGATGAGTTTCAGGAATGTTCATATCCTCATTTTTCTCTTCACTCATGTTTATAAGAGTATCCAACATATCATTGGCTGTGACATAATCATGTGATTTTCTTGTTTCCAACCTTTGGAAGATCAAGCTGTCAAAGAGGTCAAACATCTTCCGGAAGTGCTTGGTCAAACGGCGCCGTATCCCCATGGGATCAATCTTCTTAAGCACAGGAAAATAGTCAGCCAAGTTTGGTTTCCCGACCTCTTCCATGATACCCCACACCAACTCCTTGAACTCTCTAGCCGTCTCACTTTTCGGGTCCGCTAGATCCACAGAGAAGACAGTACGTGACAGCAAATTGAGGGTAGTTATGAAAGCAGCCCTTCCAACTTCAACTGCCTTACCTTTTACCACGCTTTCACTGACATCAGCTATGAGCTCTTGCACTTTTAGGTGACGGTTGGCTTGGTTGGCGTCGAGAACTTTGGTGGCGAACAATTCGGAGTTGCATATTCTGCGAAGGTTTCTCCATTTAGCTGAAACAGGTATGAAGGGCATGCCGTGCTTGGCATGGCTGCAGGCTTGGAGTGCATCCGCGTTTGTTCGGTTGCAAAAGAATCGGTCATAGGTTCGGAGGACTTGTTTGGCGACGATGGATGAAGAAACTACAACTGTTGTTATTTGGCCGAGTTGTAAAGTCATAATGGGGCCATAGCGTTTTGAAAGCTTGGTTAGAGAGATGTGGGGTTTGTTTCCAAGCTCTAGGAGATTTCCAATCAAAGGAAATGGCTTTGGTCCAGGTGGAAGGTTTGTGGGAATTCTTCTTGCAAATGAATATTGGAGGGCTTGGATTACGATCCAGGCAACCATAAGACATAGTACACAACTCAAGAATTCCATCTCTCTCTTTCTTCTTCCAGCCGTTAATTTTTGGCACAATTGTTTAGAGGACATGAGCATGTTTTTTCACTACTGATATATATATATATATCCCTTATGGTAGGAGATAAACACGAAAGTGTTGGGGTAATTTCAAAGGTCAGGAGTTAAGGAAATAAAGAGTTAGAATATAAAGGGTTTAACTATTATGTCTAGTTTATGAGTTGAAATAAAATCGAGGTTTAGTGGATATAGTGGTTATGGTTATGTTTAATATTGAGTTAATATTATGGCCTATAAATAGGCGGATGTATCCACTGTATGTAAGGTGTGTGTCAAGGGTGTATCAAGTGTATGTATCAAGCGTGTTGTAGTAGAGTATTAAGAGTATCAATCTTATTGAAGTTTGTTTCAAGTAAGTTTGTGTAGGAGCTCTGTGTAGCTTTCAGGCTTCACATCTCCAAAATTATGTTTTTTATTTAGTATGTTGCTTTCCCCCTTCACATTTAGAGTATATGAGCATAAAACTAAATCCACCAATAGAAAGAGCAAAACTTAGGTGGGGACTTTCCTACCATGTGGCAAAATAGACAGTAATAACGTATATCTAAAAAAAATAAAAAAAAAAAAAAAAGGGAGGAGGAGGACTTGAACTTGCTTGGGTAAAAGGGCCTGCAGGGCCCCAAGTGAACTTCTCTTCCATCTCTTGGGAAGCCTACATTACGAAGTGGTGGAGATTTTTTCTGCTACTGTCGCGAGGGGAACCAGCTCTCAACGAGACACAAAAAATAAAAAATACATAAAATACAGATCCCCATCCCCATCCCCACTTGACCTCTTTTTAACTATTTTTCCTGTAGGCACCTACCGAAAAAGTCCCACTGTCCCTGTTTGAGTGTGATGCATTTCGTTATTTGGACCGCGTTGTTTGTTTCTATGCCTTCAACTCTTTCTTGTCGTTGTGGATTGAAAAAGATGATGATTTAATTTACAAACCTCTTCTAAGGCCACCACTTCGTATGGTGGATGGCGTTGTTTATCTTATCAGGTTATCTAAGGCCCATCCTGGTTGAGGCTCTAAATATGATGGATAGGGCTCCATTTTGTATGGTGGATGGCGTCAATTCCCCTCACACCACACATATGGCCACGTGTGCGATACATCCTTGCAGAATTTGGGGGACACGAGGTCGGCCATAGACCGCATTCCTCGCATAACTCAAGGAGATATACTCCACTTGAGAATGCAAATCATCGCATAACTTAGGGAGATATACTCCACTTGAAAATGCAAATCCTCACACCACACGGTTCGGGCGTCCCTGAAACTCGTGGAGGCACTGTCATACGCGTGTAGACAAATCCAAGGGCAACTGAGGTGTCCGAAGATAATCCTAAGACATTCCGAAGGCAACTGTATGTCCGAAAACATCAATATTTCTGAAGGCATCCAGGATGTCCGATGACATCAATATTTTCGAAGGCAACCAGGATGTCAGAAGAAGACATCAATATCTCCAAAGGCAATCATATTTCCGAAAACAACACAAATCCAATTTTTAATCCATTTTAGCACATATATAAACATAAACATGGATATATCATGCTCAGAAAGTAAAAGCGAAAGAACAATAATTCATAAACAGTTAATAAAACTCTCATAGGAAAATACTTTTTTAAAATCAAACAACCAAACCACAAACACCTCCCAACCAAAATAGGTGCAATATCCGTTTGACTGTCAAACGATAACCAAATTCAAATTCGAGCATATCGTCGTGCTTAGGACAACAAGAGAAACAATTTAGAACTCAATGGGGCACCACACAGTGGCCCACACACCGTCACCCTGCGCTGGCAGCGCTTGGGTGTCTTGAGAAATTTCCAGCAATGAGAATTTCTCGAAACTCCCTACAATACATATACCAATACGTTCAAACTAACAAGGGGATCAACTTTTGTTCTTGGACCACTGCCAAAAATGGGTTTAAGAATTGATTTGTAAAACCTCAAAATTGATCCAAACTAAGTACATAAACAAGTAGAGCATGATGAGGGGATGAAGTTTCATACCTCACTCGATGAATTTGGTTGTCGGAATAGTCGGAAATCGCACGAACTGTGCTGGGTGATGAACTAGGGTTTTGCTTGGTTCTAGTCCAAAATCGCAATCAATCTTGGAGTTTCGAATATGGTAATGGGTATGAACATGAAGAGGAAGAAGAGACAAATGTTTAATAGGTCGTGGCGTCATCGGCCGTGGCCGGATGGAGGAGAAAGTGCAGGCCAAAGTGGCCCGTTTGCTTGAGAGAGAGAGAGAGAGAGAGAGAGAGAGAGAGAAGCTCGGATATTTAAATTTTAACTTCGCAAAAATTACAGTTGTGCCACTACATTTCCGTATATCATAACTTCTTCGTTTTAACTCTGAATTGAACATGCCGCCTTTCTACAAACTCGTATCGTCGATCTCTACTCACCAATGCCGCTTAATTCCCCAAATTCATTTTCAAACAAAAAGTGACTAAAGTGGCCTACACCCAAGGGCAAAAATGTAATTTCACAATAAATAATCAATTGAACAATGATTTTTGAGACTGGATGTTACGATGGATCTCCCTCAGAGGCTCCCGCACCCGCCAATAATAGTGCCATTTCAATAGGTTCTCCACTGCTGAATCTGTGGTCGTTGGGGGGTTTTTGCTACGGTGTTGGTTATGTAAAGTTCATAATTAGGGTTTTTTGGATTTTCAATTATCTGTTTATTATAAGTATTGTATCAATTCAATTTATTCATTTATTTCGAGTGGGTTTGGGGTATGTTCAGTAGATGTTGAGGAATGGGCGATGGTGGGGTGGGCTAGGGTTGAGGATAGGGTGGGGGTGGCTGTTGTTATGGCTGGTCAAGGGAGGAGGAGGGACGGTGGCTGGGGAGGTTGAGATGAGGGTGGCATGAGTTTGTTTTTGTAGGATTTAAAACATTTTTACAAAGTTCATTTGAATATTAAACATGCATTTAATCAAATTAATCGCAACGGAAGTCTATGGTGGTTGTTTAAATTCAAAAACAAATTTCTTCCTTGTATCTTAAGCCATGAATGTTGATATGTATTTCATAAATGGAAAATTCAAGAGAAATGATAAGATCTAATTACCCTTGAAGCAATTATATGAACCAATTTGTGTTTGGTCTTCTCTTGATGAATTCCTCTGTGTTGACCTCCTCTTTGATCTTGATTTTTGCTTCTTGATCTTTCTCCTCCTTGTGAGCCACAAAAGTATATGGCCTCTAAGTCTCTACACCAATGGAACAGAGAGGAAGTATCTTGAGAATACAAGGATGCTAGTGCAAGATTCTTAAGATTGGTTTCAATCTAAACCCTTTGAAAGATGAAAGTGTTTCACTCTTGAAAACTCTCTTTTATCTATCTTTGATCTCCCAAACCTATTTGGTTGATGTTGGATTGTGTTTTTGTGTTAATGAGCTTATGGAAATAATTCCCATACACATTTACTTATGCATTTTCGGCCAAACCCCATTGGGCTTCCAAAATTGGGCGTTGTGACACTTAAAACATAATATTTAGGTGTCTTAAGCCCTTGGGCTTGATACTCAACCACTTGGGCTTCTTGTTAATTATTACCGAGGCCCAAATACGTTTTTCCGCATAGTAAATCATCTACATCAAATCAATCAAATTGATTTCCGCATTCTCATTTGTATTACTCAAAGTTAACCATTTAAGGTATGTGATCCATTAGGTTCTAATTAGCGAGGCAGTGGGAAAACGTTAGAACTCTTTCTAATTAATTGGAATTAAAACCCCTTTTAATTCTTCCTTTATATGGATCGATCACAATCAATCCTAGGACTTCCACGAACCAGGAGTGACATCTGACAATATATCAAGGCTACCCAAGCTAACCAGAGTAAATGAAGAACCTATTCAGTTGGAATTGCAATGCAATATGGTCCTTCTCTTATACAATGTTTCAAATCATATTATTAGGGTACGGATTGATTATGTCAAACCCCTAATATGATTTATAATCTCATGTGATTCAAAAGAACGTGATTAAGAACAACTTTCTAAATCAAGCTAAAAAAAACTTTGGCCAAAGATTTGCTAAATCACATCTTGAAACATTCTCCTTCTTTATCAAAGATAGAGATTTCTTATTGTATATTCACATACCCCTATGATGAATTAAGAGATCCCAACAACACTTAAGACAAATCTTTTACGACATGCCTTTGAGAGCTATTAAAGATCAATAACGCATCACAGGACAACCATGATGCCTCAGGTCTAAGGACTAATTTGCATTATTGTAACTATGAGTTCTCGTTTGACCTATAGATAAATACTCCATATGAGAACTAAGGTTAATTATCTAATGAGCACCCACATACTTGTATTAGTGTCAATTACACAAATGGTTTGAAACTAACCATCCTCCTAATTGAGCATACATAATATGTGTTAATCTTGACAGTTTATCAATACCCATTTGATAACCCTATGATTAGGAACATTTTGGAATATTATAGTTAGAGATTAAAGGACTCCCGAATTTAATCTTCTTTAGGTTACTTTATCTCTTATTTAGCATACCTTGGACATTTGTTTCTTTACATGCTGTAAAAGATAACAAAATAACTTTGCCCTTTATATATCATATATGAAATGTATTATAAGGAGATTACATAAAATGTATTGGCTCTTGGGGCACATTTCTAACAGTTTCTTCCAAGGGTATTTGCAGAAGAGGAGAGGGGTGTGTGGATAAAGGTTGAGGATTGAGGCAGCTGGGGTCTAATTTTTTTTATTAATTGGTTTTAATAATTATAATATTTAATTATATTCTTGTCTATGTGGAGGTGGGCACTACTTGCCACGCCATTCTTAATTGGTGGATAATGATCCATGTGTATGAGATTACAAAAATACCCCTGCCACGTCATCATAGTTAACAAACTTTTGGACGGAGTTGACGACAAAGGGCAAAGTGAGTCACCAAACCACGGTCAAGAGGGGTAAGGCCATCTCCAACTCATGAGGACAAACCAAAATTATCCCAAATTTTAGCCCAAATCCTCTCCCAACCCAAGAAAATGAAGATGCCAAAATTTGGGAAAACCCAAACTTGGGGTCAAATAGCAGTCCAACTATTGCCTGGGCCCAAAAAAATTTCGGTAGATCCCACTAAAGTTGACGCATCCCATGTGCAAGGAAGCTGTTGTGGGCCTCGCGCACTGTTGCTCTGCTGTTTTAAGGCATAAGGTTTGCATGTCGCAAGGCAAGGTGCCGAATGGCATGGGGGTGCCAAAGGCGAAGAGGCTGGCAAGTCGCAAGACAAGGTGCTGAAGGCATAAGGTTTGCATGAAATTTGCTTGTCGCAAGGAAATTGCCGAAAGACATGAAACTTGGTAAGGTGCCAAAGGCACTTTCATGAAACTTGCGTGTAGCAAGGAAATTACTAAAGGCACTTGCATGAAACTTGTGTGTCGAAAGGAAATTGCCAAAAGGTATAAAACTAGGCAAGGTGCCAAAGGAGAGAAATGTAAATGTGTGTGTGTGTGTGTGTTTTTTTTTCAATAGAATTTGTAGATGTTGACCTTGGTATTGTTTTTTGGAAAAGTGGTGGGCCCATATAGCTGCACAGGCCTTAAAAAAATGCAAGGGTGGCTGAAGTCCATAATAGTAATACTCATGTGGAGTAAATGCCTTCACTACTACAAAAAGTGAAAAAGACGACCATAAAAAAAACAACGGTAGAGCAAAATACTGTCATCGTGTTTAGAAAGACGACGTTAACATAAAATTGTCATGGATAAGTAGCATAAACACTTAAAAAATAGAGATACGCTTGGGTACTTTTAAAACACGACTCATCGAACAAAAAAAGTGACGTCTTATTAAAAAGGTTTTCGTCGAACTTAAACTTTGACCCCAAAAACAATGATAGCAGGTATGAAACCACCGACGTAGAAAGTACTGACCACGTCGGTTTGTTCAATTTGAGTCGTATAATATTACTTTACCATGTCGTTAAGTGAAAAATACCGTCGTATTATATCAATTAATATGTCTGTCTTTATCTTTAAGGTTTGGAGTCTTTCTCAATATGGGTTCCCGAGTTTCAATTTTATCAATTTACACTCTATGGTTTTCAAATTTGACCAATTTAACCCTTCCGTTAAGTTGACTGTTTGGTCAGACATTAATTGATGACATGTCCATTGTAGGACCAACCCATTAACCAATCCCAAAAATAATTAAAGAAAAATAAAAAACAAATAACATAAAATAAAAAAAATAATAAAAAGCTTTTGAAAACACCTAAGAGTTGCAGCTTTCACGGCCATCCATTATCATCAATGTCCAAAGAGTTTCACCAAATCCATCCATTCACTCAACCGAATCAAACAAAGCAAACCCAGCAAGCAAATTACTAGAAAGAGCACTTCAAATCCAGTAAAAAGCAAGAAGATGCAGACCCAAAGATTTAAGAGAAACCATTGGAAACATATAGAAGATTCTCAAATATTCAACATGGTCAGGACCAATTTTAGAGGTTGCCCATTAAATTGCAAAGAAATTCAATTTTTATGTTTGTTTCCTCTTCTTCCTCGCACAGAGATGGTGGAAGGTATGATCGTAACTTGATGCACAAGTTGAGGAGCTTATCCGTGTCCAAGAGGTTGCCGGTGGAGTTTTTGAAAGGGTTTCGATTTAGGCGGGACTGGGCGAGGATTGAAGGTTTGGGAAGGAGTTTGAGGAGAGAGGTGGAAAGACGTTGAGTGATGTGAGGTCGCCGTCGTGGTCGAATTCGAGATAGAGGGAGCGAACAGTCTAGGATTAGATCTCCGGTGAGGAGATTTAAGGATGGGAAGGGGTCAAAATCGAAGTCGAAGTCCAAGTCACCAACTTGGTCCAAGGACTCGGTGCAGAGTGAGTAGTCGAAGAGTGTTGGAGGATGAAGACATGGAAGCCAACGAAGCTTAGGGTTGCAGAGAAGGGGCTGGGGACTGCAACTCTTTGGTTTTTAAAATTATTTTATTCTATGTTATTATATATATATATTGGATTGGATAGTGAGTGGGTCTCATAGTGGACACGTCATCAGTTAACGTCTGACCAAACGATCAACTTAACGGAATGGTTAAATTGGTCAAATTTGAAAACTATAGGGTGTAAATTGATAAAATTGAAACTCGGGAGCCCATATTGAGAATGACCCCAAACCTTCAGAGAGTCTTTTGACGTTAGCCCAAATTTTATTGCTTTTTAAGATTTTTTTTTCTTTTTCTGAAGCCTCTTTTTTATTCAATTTGCGTCGTATAATATTAATTTACCATGTCGTGAAGTGAAAAGTACTTTCATATTAATTCATTTTATACGACTGACCTTATCAGTAAATTGTCGTCTTAAATTTTAGGGAGTTCTAATTTTAAAACACAATATAGTTTACTAATTTGGAAGATAAGAATACAATTTCATCTAATTTGTAGTACCTAATTTTACAAAATTTGAATTATACTGCGGTCAACTTGAAACTTCCTAAGATGAGATGCAATCAGTGTTGTAGAACAATCAGTATAAACCCAAAATAACAGAATAATAAAAAACCAACAAATATATTTTATATAAATATAATTGAATCAATACAACAGTAATATAGATTGCAGAATACTGACTTGAATTGTAGATAGAGTCCTGCAGATTTGCAGTGTCCTTTAGACAATATTTTTCCTCTACCCTTGTGCTTGTAGTTTGATAGGAGTCTGTCCACCAGGATTAAACTATCTTAAATCTAAGCCTAAGCACAATGACTTTGATTTCTGGCGAACAGTGGTATGAATTCTCTCAGGAAGTGTTAAAATGTGAGAATGATAATGCAGTTCAAAAGGTGTCCTTCTGGTTTCAGTATTGTCAATATATAGAGGTCTAACACCTCTTCATCCAACAGTTATGTTAACTGTTTAATTAATTCGAATTTCAGATTTTGGTTTTATCTGAAAAAACCGAATTTTCAATTAATAAAAATAAATTATTAATTAAATCAACAAAGCCCAAGAGCCCCAAGGCCCATCTTTTGACAATTAATTATATATATATATATATTTATTACACAAATATACATATAATCCAAGCTCAAACCATTTTGAGGCCCAAGTTTGCCTCCACTAGGCCTATGCTCTATTTAGTATTTCTAATGTGTTGGTGCTTATAAACCATGGAAGGAAACTACTCTCTTCCAATGTGAGACTAAATGCAAGTGTCTTTTCCTATACAAACTCTAACAATCAGTTCAATTGCCTTGTGCACACCAACTGCGTCACCCACTACTTCAACAACTCTGTCATCTTGAAGAGCAAAAATCGGCAAGTCTTCTGCAGTCAATCATTCAACAAACGGTCAGGCAATCAAACCGAGGTAACTAAACATGCACAAAACAATATGTCCAGCCAAAGATAGGAATGCAAGACTAAAAGAAGGTAAACATTTTACCAAAAAGAAAACACTTCAACTTTCAGTGTATGTAAACCATGTATCATACAATAGGTAGTATCCCATAAATACCACAATGAATGCTGCCACGCAAATGCTCAATAGCTAATATTGGTGCTCCAAAAGATAAATACAGCTACTAAATATCTAAGCTCATATCCATAACCACGTTTATTTGATTATACTGAAGAGACACAAAACCTTGCATGGTATAATATTGGAAACCATATCTAACAAGACAGGCAATTATGTACTCTAATGATGACTTCTGCAGAACTCACAATAAGATGCTCTTTTATCTGTATGTCTACAAGCATTTTGGACAACTGAAAAATATAAGAGATTCAAAAATACAAGGAAGATGACCTACTCCAAGAACTCTAACCACGCAGTTAGATGATTTTTGAATAGATTTAACAGTTCCTCCCTGTTTTCCAATCAAACTTCCTACCTATGAAGCTGCCACAGCAGCCTTGTGGAGACTTTGCCACCCATGCCCGGTGGAGCATGAGAAGAATCACCATCCAAACCGTCAATAATCCACCTGTGAACCCTCAAAAGGTCATCCATTGCAAGAGGAAAAATATAAGTATAGCTGATCATCCAAATAAAATGGAACCATAGTTAGCCCAGATAACAAAAGTTGTCCTTGTCCTGAATAAAATGATTATCAAAAGATAACAAAGATTAAAGCAGACTTATATAACTGTACCGGAAGATACACTTTAAGAGCCCTACTTATCAGAGCAATGACTAGCCATTACTGGCCAAAGAAAAGGATAATCTCATTAGAACGTGTGAGGTGAACATGTGGAAGGGATAGAAAACACCAACCATAAACAAGACTGAAATTCTGTAGAAATAAAAAATTATACAAAAGTAACATCAGTAGTTAAATGTGCATCCATATCAGTTCAATATTTCTTAAAATAACAAATTTCATAAGCTTTACAAAGAGAGAGAAAAACACAAGTCATAAGATTATTAGGGCTTGACATTGATGTGAAGTCTGATATGAAAATAATATCACAAGATCCAAGCAATTAACAAAAAAACATTACACGAAAACTGGAGATTGGAACCTTGGATGTTATAATCTTTGTTATTCGAAGGGATGAGCCGCAAGTCAATCGATCTTAAACTCAGCAAGATGGCAATCACAATGCCCTTCATCTTGAGCTAGAAGAACTTGGAGTTGCCGGTGAATGCCGAAGGGATGAGCCGCGAGTCAAGCAGCTTGAGAATTCCATTGCAGATTGATCTCTCGATCTTGGATTGATGATTGCAGATCATGGCGATGTGGTAGTTGTTGCTGCGGAGAGAGAGAGAGAGAGAGAGAGAGAGAGAGAGCAACGAATTTAGGTCAAGCTTTTAAATAAAAAGGGTATAATTGTCTCTTCAGTGATTAATGTAAGGTGGGCCAATGAATTTGGACCTCCACTTTGACCAAATCCAAAACAAAATTCAATTCCTAGGTATTAAAACCAAAACAGAAATACTGTTTGTCTCAAATACTAATTAGTAAAGATAATTATGTCTAATACCTAATTTTTCTTAAATTTTATTTCTTTTAAGATTTATTTCTTGGATTTTGGTAGCTTACGACAGTAGATCAACAAAATGACAAGAACTGTAAAAACCATGATAGTTTATATAGAAAATCGTCGTCACAGAGAAAATTAAAAAGAATCCCAAGAGATATGAAATCTTACCAATGAGAGCTACGTTCCTCATCATAATCGAACCACCAATGTGAGAAAGACAATATTTTAGACGTTGATGATGTATGTGTCTTTGTGTCCTTGAGATACACAAAAACAAATACACATCAAAATCCAAAATATTTGCCTTTAAAATTTGATGACTGCAAACTATGAGAAAGACAATTTTTTAGAAGTTGATAATGTGTGTGTGTTTGTGTCTTTCGGATACACAAATGCACACACACATCAACATCCAAATTATTGCCTCCAGAGAGGTGAGGGAGAGACAAGGGTTGAAGTGATGACGGCAGTGAAGGGCTAGAAGAAGTTGGAACCCCAAGTGAAAACTAAAAGTGAAAGAATGCATGAAAAGACCCAATTTATACAAATAATCTTCACTAAACACGACGGTCCTTTTATAAATTGCAACGTCTAATATTAAACATCCACGTCAGTGTGGTAGTAAATAGCGTCGTCGTAAATCATATACCACGACAGTAAAAGTAAATTGATGTCGTTTAAATCCAAAAAACCATAACGGTTATGTAAACTAAAGTCTTGACTTTTAAATACAACCACGACGGTTATATATAAAGAAGCGATGTTGTAACTTAAAATATCAGGGCATCAAAAGTAAACTTTTGTCATGTAAAACTTAAATAACTACGTCGGTTTCAGAATTCCAAAAGTAGTTTGGTTTTATTAACAACCACGTCGGTTTCTACTACTTTTTCGTATGTTTAACAACATACTAGTGTGGTTTATAATAGAATCGTCGTGTTATTGGACTTTGGGATAATATATAAACTTTTTTCTCACCTGACCTAAAGTTTTACATTCTCTCTAATTGATAAATTTCTCTCAGTTTTCTTTCAGTTCCCAAAAGCGGCGTGTCTGAATAAAGTCATCTTCCTCGTCTTCGTCTCCAAATCTCCAAAGTTTACGTATGAAAAAAACTTTCTTTGCAAGGTTTTTTCAAAGTTTTTTTTCTCTCTTTTTTTTTTTTTTTTTTTTTTTTTCAAATCTTTTGAAGTTGTTTTTGAAAGAGTTTGGTTCGTTCATTCTTTGCAAGCCAAAGACTCCGTTTTCAAAATGACGAAAATCTTCCATTGGTTTTAATAAATTAACTAGTCCCTCACTCTCACGACGTGTAAAGTCGACGGCCTTGTCTTGTTTACGTCGTATTAGTGGTCACACTACGACGGTAATTAAATCCGTGCTATTACAAATTGCACGACGGTAGTTAATAATGGTCGGGGTGTGATGATTAATACGACATAAACAATAAAACATCGTCATCTTATTGTTATACAAAACGATTGTGGGAGAGAGGGAACTGAGCGGTTTTGTCTGTACCACCTCTACTTAAGACAATGGTTTTTCTTGTTGATGTCGCTTAAGTTTACGTACGACGTTGGTTGTGTTTTCCTACCGACGTTGTTCTTTTTAATGAACCGTCCTTGTTTCACTTGTAGGTTTAATTTCTTTCTAAACATGGTTCCGAAATCTCAACGTAAGGAGGCTCAAGTATCAAAAGGTCAAAGCAAGGACCTTAAAGTTTCAAAGGCTCAAATGAATGAAGCCAAATTTGTTCAAAGCAATCCCGCGAAGAAGATGAGATTTACCTCAACCTCCGAGAAAGAATCGAGCTCAGCAACATTTGATGAGGAGCCAAAATCTAGTCGCGGTATCAACACAATGAGCCGTGTTGTGAAGAGGAAAATCCAGAAGATTAAGCCCGTGGTTGTGTACAATAAAAGGGGCAGACCACATGGCAAGGCTGCTGTTGATATGCAATCTTATATTGGTGTTTTGACATGCACCAGAGTCCTTATTGGGGACAAGAAATGGACTCAATTGCCCAAGGAAATGAATGAGCAGATTTGGGAAGCTGTTGAAATGGCTTATGTGGTCGGGCAATGGGGCAAGAAGATGGTGCTATTGTTTGTCGCCAAAAACCTTAACGAGGTAGTTTATCATTCCATTCACAAATGACAAGAAGTTAAAAGAACACCCTCAACTTTATATCTTCATAGAGAAACCGCAATGGGATGCCTTTGTAGCTTCAAGGTTATCCCCAGAATTTGAGGCTGTGCATTCTGAGCAATCACAGAGAAGGGAAAAATGCGAGTACAACCACATGTTGTCTCGAAAAGGGTATGTTAGTTTGGAGGACGAATTAGAAGAAACCATGTCCAATGAAGAAATCGATCGTTATTTGCTATGGAAGAAAGCAAGAGAAGATAAACAGGGAAACATCCCTTATCCAAAGGTTGCAGAGAAGGCAAAATTAATCGTAAGTCTCATTGACTCTGTTCTAAATTTGAAAAAATAGAGGTTTTTAATTTCATTTGGACGTCATTGATTTTAATAACCGTTGTTAGAAATGAAACACCAAAACGATTTTTACTTACGGCCATTTCAAAATTGATAGGACTTCAGTTTTTTTATATAGGAAATAGACGTCTGGATTGAATTACCACGACGATTTTGTATTTCTGAGTTAGATGTTTTGTTTTAAAGTTTTAAACAACTATCTTCATTTTTCACACACACACACACACACACACACTCTCTCTCTCTCTCTCTCTCTCTGCAATTGGTTTGTACACTATTTCCGGAAAAGAATGCATATTTTGGGTTAAGTATTTTTTATCTCTGCATTTGAATTATAAGATGGTTTTCTAGATTGTCGACGTTAGAATGCATACACAATGACGGTAATTTGTTACCGACATCTGAAATGTTTTACTATGTCAGTATTTTCTTGAAACCGTCGTCTTCATTTAAATACCACAAGGGTATAGATTTGTCATTTAAAGTCATTTTAATTTTTTCAGTTCAACTTTCATTTACACACAACTTTTGGTTATACATCGGTTTTCTTCATTACCGACGTTAGAATTGTTACACAACAACAGTAGTTTCTTACCGACACTTGAAATTAAATACTACGTCAGTTTTTTAAATAATCTGTCATCTTCATTGAATTACCATGACGGTTTATATTTTTGAGTTAGATGTTTTATTTGATCTTTTTTACAATATATTCATTCACTAACTCTCTCTCTCTCTCTCTCTCTCTCTCTCTCTCTCTCTCTCTTAGGATGATTTGAAAAAATAAGTCTCCAAGGGCACTCTGACTGTCTCTGGGAGCAATGATATTTTCACCTTGGCTTTGGGAACCCCTGAGCATGGTGGGAGAGTCAGGGGTGTTGGAGCTGGGGTTTCCCCAAGTTAATTCTACAATTTGCAGAGACAGTAGAGAGTAAATTTTTTTGGCAAATTGAAGGAAAGTGTCATGGAGGTAGTCAGAGAAGAAACCATGAGGATTGAGGCTAGGGTAAAGGAATCGGTTTTGGAGGCTGTCAGAGCAAAGAGGGAAATTATGTTGAAACAATTCAGTCAACTAATTCCCAATTTTGATCCCAACATGCTCAAAACTCCAATTACCCAAATTCCTTTACTGCCTCAAGAGCAAAGCCCAAAAAATCCAATGTTTGACAAAGCAAGCTGCTCGGGGGCCACTAATGTGATACCCCATGTTTTGGAGGAAGAAAATGCCAAGCATGATGCTGATGCTGGTGAAAAACAACAAGTTGAAAATGGTAAAATCTCTTTTTTTTTTTTTTTTTTTTTTAGATGTCGTTATTTATCATCACCGAAGTTAGGATTTTGAAACAACAACGTTATATATTTATCGACATTTTAAAACCATAAGACGTCTACTTTTTCAAAAAATTGTTGTTGTGATTTAAATACCACGACGCTTTTGCTTGTTTATCTTTAGAATATTTTGCATTTTATTTATAACTTGTAAATAACGATGGTTTCTGTTTACCGTCATCTCATTCATTTACTACGTCGGTTTGTTTTTCAGAAATCGTCGTCTCCTTTTTACTATGTCGTTTGTTTTACTTGTTTTACAAGCCATCTTCACTGCATTTTATATAGACGACCTTTTTATAGTTTTTTGATGTTAGGACGTTTACACAACGATGGTTTTACCGTTGTCTAAATTCTTTACTACATCAGTATTTTCAAAATACTGTTGTTTATATTTTAATACCACGACAGTTTTATTTAAAGTCTTTTATTTTACTTTTTACAAGCTATCTTATATTTTTTTCTTCATTTCTTGAAACAGGATTTTTCAAAGCTAGACTTTCCACCTTCTCTGTTTCAAGAAATGAAGAAAGAAATATAAGATTGAAGAAGGTAAAAAACAAATTGCCAATATGTCCAGACCTAGCATTTGAGAAAACAGTGAGACCTGGACAAACACTTACCCTAGCATTTGAGACCAAATTGCAAAGTGTAAAAAACAAATTGCCAATTTCTTCATTTCTTGATCCAGACCTAGCATTTGAGAAGAAGGTAAAAAACAAAATTTAAGATTGAATTTCTTTTTAAAATACTAGGATTGTTTTTTGAAAAACCGTTGTTTGTATGTTTATAAAACGTCGGTTTTAATTGGTTTACTAATAACTGTTGTTTTTATTCCAATAACAAGTCGGTTTTTGTCTTTTATTTCTGCAGTTTGACAAGAAAAAAGAACCAGTCAAGTATGTACAAGTAGACATTAATGAAGTGAGGCTGGAATGGGCAGAATTTGTTACAAAGCAAGTAGAGAATAATCAGTGACATAATTTTTATTAACAATGTTTAGGGTTTATTAACAATGTACATAATTTTTTTGTAATTATTGAAGTAAATTATATGAATGACTATGATAGTAATTCTTAAAAACTAAATTTAAATCCTAAAAACCGACGTCACATTCTTCTTAACACATCTCATTATTACAAATCACCGTCGTCTTACGATAGATGGAAATAAAACATTGACGGCAAATTTTAAAAATGACATGTACCTGAAAAAACACGATGGTTTATGTATAAAACTGAAGTCTACAATATATTTTTAGGGAAAACAATAATCCAGTTTAAAAATACTAAATATTTTGTACCGAAATACCACAACCGTTAAAAACAATAGATAGACGTCTTAACTAACCTACAACAGCGGTAAATTTACAACGGAGGACGTTGTAAGCTTAAACAACGTCGGTAACTACGTGAAAGACAACATTGTTAAAATAACCCACGTCAGTGAGTTCTTAACAAGTGAAGTTGTAAATCATAAAAAAACGTCGGTGAGTTTTTTTTAAGCTTTTGTAAGACATTGTCTCATAATAATATTCAGTTTATTTTGACAAATACTATGCACTCATTGAGACAATGTCTTCCCCCTAAAGGTTTGAAACCTGAAATTTTAGTTTTCAAAATTACAAGTGATAACAAAAGTAAAAAATTTTTAGAGACAAAGTCCTTATACTTTCATAACATAACCCTACGGTTTATGTGATCCATTGGTGGCCATAAATACAAATAAATGAAATCCTGATTTTAGCCTTCTAATATAGAAGACATTGTTGTAAGGAGTTCGTAGCAATTTTCGGTTTATTTTTCTCGTACTTGTGTATCTTTTTTTATAATGCTTGTAAAATTTAGGGTTTAAGCTTTGGGGTTTAGGGTTTAGGGTATATTGAAATGACGCCGGTTTTCTTTCCACTGTTTTTGGTCAATTTTGTGCGTTCGAATCCTAGGAAACCCAAAGCACATCTAATTATTTAATATTTAAGACGTCAGTTTTTTCAAGAAGCGATGTGAAAACAATTTACTACGGCATTTCCTTTAAGATATTGACGCAGTAAATATTTACAATGTCGTTAAATTTAATAAACCATCATCTTAGGCCTTTATTAAACGTCGTCAGGTATGTATTTTCTGTCGTCTTTAGAAAACCCGGTCCTTTGAAATTTTTCACCGCGATCTAAAATTTTCAGAATTCCCCTTAACCCTAAAATATTTCGTCCTCTCTCTTCAACTTAAATTTGTCTTAAAATTTTCTCTCTCTAAAAGCATTGGTTATATTCTCTGAGCTTTCTCTCAATATCCATGTAAGTACAAACCCTAATATCTTTATTTAATGATATTGCACGGCTTCTTAAATCAATAAATTATTTCATTGGTTGTGGTAGCTATGGGTTCTTAATTGGGAGCTATGGGTTCTTAATGGGGAGCTATATATGGGTTCTTAATATATGTTTTGGGAGCTATAGGTTCTTGATATATGTTTTGGTGTTTGCATGCTTGTCATAATAACTCTCTGTTATGGGTTTTTATATGTTTGTTTGGCCATGGGTCCTTGGAAAATGATTGGGAATGGGAGATTTAGGTTGTGGGTTTTTGTAACCTACGACGACGGTTGATGGACCAAATCGTTGTCTAAATTTTCATTATACATCGGTTGTTCATTTACTCCCGTTGTCTGAACTTTTTTATATGGTAGCTTAAAGACGACTGTTTCTACACTAATCGTTATCTTTATGCTACATAACCATAACTTGTTGATTAAATTTTGGGTATAGGTAGCCTAAAGACGACAGTATCTCCAATAACCGTTATCTTTATTTTACATGAACTCAGAACATTGTTCTTCAAAAAGCAATACAAATTTTTGGGTTTGGGTAGCCTAAAGACGATGGTAATTCGATATGCCATCGTCTAAATTGCTGTAACACGACGATTATTTTGTAAATACTGTCGTCTGATTTCTTTTTTTTTGTGTGTGTGTGTTTCTTTTCAATTTATTCTCTGCTATGTGAATATAGTGGCGTTTTATTGCTGGTTTTTTCACTTTATTATATATATGATTTTATAGTATGTGAGATGGATAAATCATGGATGCATATGGATAGAAGATTGAAGGCATATGAGTTAGGGGTGGAAGGATTTTTGAATTTTGCTGTAGAAAATCTTGGAAATACAACTCATATTCATTGTCCATGTGTTAAATGTGGGAATATTCGATTGTTTGAGGTTGGAATTATAAGGGCCCACTTATACTTTAATGGAATTGACCAAAGCTATAAGATTTGGACATGGCACGAAGAATCTTGGGAATGGACTAATAATGCTAGTAAAAATGTGGAAGAAGATGAGTTCAGTAGGTTCCGTTTTTTTATGAAGGATTAGGGATGGATGATAATGATTTAGGCGATATTAGATCTGATCCTTATGAGTTTGTCAATGTGATTGGGGATCGAGATCAACCCTTGTACCCTGGTTGCAGTAACTACACGAAATTGTCAGCTTTGGTGAAGTAATATAATTTGAAAGAAAAACATGTGATGAGTGATGTTTGTTTTACTGAATTATTGATACTTCAAGGAGATTTGCTTCCATAAGGAAATACACTACCTTCCTTTATGTACAAGGCAAAAAAGACTTTGTCTGCTTTGGGGATGAGTTATGAGAAAATCCATGCATGCCCCAATGACTGCATCTTGTATAGGAGGGATTATGAAGATTTAACTAATTGTCCTACTTGTGGTATCTCAAGGTGGAAGGAAGGCAAAGATTCAATCTTGAAAGAGGGTGTGCCAGCGAAGGTGATGTTGTATTTTCCTCAAATTCCAAGGTTTAAAAGGATGTTTTAATTACGTAAGACAGCTAAGAGTTTGACTTGGTATGTTGATACAAAATCAGTTGACGGTCATATTTCTCATCCAGCGGATTCCCCGTTTTGGAAACTTGTTGATGATAAATAGCCCGAGTTTAGTAAAGCGTGGAGAAACTTGAGATTAGCTCTCTCATTTGATGGATTCAATCCCCATAGTTCTTTAAGTAGCAGATACAGTTGTTGGCCAGTTATCTTAGTTATATATAATCTCCCACCATGGTTATGCATGAAACGGAAGTTCATGATGTTGACTTTATTGATTTCTAGTCCTAAACAACTCGAAAATGATATAAATGTCTACTTAAAGCCTTCGATTGATGATTTAAAATCTCTGTAGGATGGGATTAGAGGAGTGTATGATGCAAATAGGAAAATACTTTACACTCAGAGCTGTATTACTGTATACAATTAATGATTTTCCTACCTATGAAAACTTATCTGGTTGTGTCGTTAAAGGATATAAAACTTGTCCAATATGCGGCGATGATACACCTTGTCACAAGTTGAAAAATGACCACAAAATTTGTTACATCAGGCATAGACAATGGTTACCGATCAATCATCCATATTGAAGACAGTGTGCAGCTTTTAATGGGAAACCTGAATATGGCACGCCTCCCGAGCCATTAACCAGAGAAGAAATATTGCAGATGGCTGAATGTATTAATTACAAATTGGGCTCGTAAAATGGGAAAAGTGTTGGTGAGAATGATGGTGACAGAGTTTTTTGAAAGAAGAAATCAAAATTCTTTGATCTCGAGTATTGGAAATACCTTCCTGTGAGGCATGTCCTAGATGTTATGCACATTGAGAAGAATGTTTGCGATAGTATCATTGGTACATTGCTGGAGATCTCTGGAAAAACTGAAGATGGGATTGCTGCTTGATTAGATTTACTGAACATGGGGGTCAAAACTGATATGCAAACCGAGTATGAAGAAAGACGTATTCGCTTGCCTCTAGGGCCTTGGAATTTGTCTAGAGCAGAGAAGAGAATGGTTTGCAATTCTTTGTATGGTATGTAGGTCCCTGAAGGTTATTCTTCAAATATAAAAAATCTTATATCTTTAAAAGATTCAAGACTTCTTGGCCTTAAATCTCATGATGCAACAATTGCTCCCTATGACAATTCGTTTTGTTTTTGGAGAAGCTTGCAAGGTATGCAATAACTCGATTGTGCTTCTTCTTCAATGCTATACGTGCGAAGACGACAGATGTTTCCAAGCTAGATAAGTAGGAAGAAGATATAGTAGTTACTCTGTGTTTGCTTGAGATATACTTTCCCCATTCATTCTTTGATATCATGGTTCATCTAATAGTACATTTTGTCAGAGAAGTTCGCCTATGTGGGCCAGTTTTTTTTAGATGGATATATCCGTTTGAAAGATATATGAAAGTGCTAAAGAGGTATGTTCATAACTGTACTCGTCTCGAAGGTTGCATTGCTGAGCGGTATATAACTGAAGAAGTTTTAGAGTTTTGCACCGATCATTTATCTGATGTTAGTACAGTTGGAGTGCCATCAAGCTAGAAGATGGGAGTTTCAAAGCCATTATCAGTTTGCACAGTGAGCTTAGTTGATCAGGACCTATTGAACCAGGCGCATTTATATGTCTTGGAGAATACGGAGGAAGTCCTACCTTATATCGAGTATGAGTTTTATTCTTTAAGTAGCCACTTTAAATATTATTACTTATGTTTATCTTATATACAAGGGACCATAATGCTTGATTTTTTCGTGTCAATGTGGGGAACATATGATGTTTATCAAGACCACTTATCCAAAATTTAGAAAGAGAACGAAGTGGCTGCAATATAGGCGCAATAACACTTTTATTCAATGGCTACACTTTAAGGTATATGTTATTGAATAACATATATAGAATTTTTAATTTTCGTATTTCTATGTTAGATTGAATTAATATATATGATTAATTTGGAGGTTCAAAGTGAACTTGGGGGAAAAGACGAATGGCGTATTAGAAAATTTAAGGTGGCTAGCAACTGGTCCAAGCATGACAATGCCATCATGTAGGAGCTATCTTATTAATGGTGTTAAATTTAACACCAAGGCACAAAATGATGTGCGAACTGTCCAAAATAGTGGAGTTTATTTACTTGCACATACTATACAAGTTGTTAGTGTCAAGGATAAAAATCCTATTATCTCCAATATTGGTTTTTATGGTGTCATTTAAGAAATTTGGGACATTGACTACCAAAAGTTTAGAATCCCAGTCTTGAGGTGTGATTGGATAGATAACACTTTGGGCATTGGGCATTGTAGTTGAAGAACTTGGATTTTCCCTTGTAGATCTAAGTAAAATTCGATATAGGAATGACCAATTTGTTATGGCTTCTCAAGTCAAACAAGTATTTTTTGTTGACAACCCAATGCATTGTGGTTGGTCGGTAGTGTTATCAATGCCTAATAGAGAATATAATGATGTTATTGGTGATGATGTGTGTTGAGGCCCAAAAAATCCACGGTTGGGCCCGAATAAATTCCCAGCCCAATATGACACGTTATTAAGAAAAGACCAAATTTGGAGCACACGAAAGTCCGCCATGCACAAGTCACAGTCCACGTGTCATGCCAAATAAATAATCCGTCATGCTAGGAAATGAGATAAAGATTATAAAATACACTTTACAAGCCCATGCTAATTAAGCATCGTGTCCTTCTTCAAGGACCATAAAATTAAAGCACGCTAAGCGACATGCCATGCCAAGCAAGAAATCATTATTTCACACCCAACCAAGCTACAAGCTTAAGTGGGCCCAAGTCACGCGAATGCTTGGGGCTTGCTGAGCGGGTTGTGGTATGGATGGTCACGAGTTTTCATGAGGCCCATTGATGAGCCGAGAAATGGCAGTTTTGGGATGCTTGGGAGCCCCGAAACTCAAGCCCATTTCTTGGGCCCAAATATGTGGGTAAGCATAAATGAGAGAAACTAGCCCATTACCTTGGAAAAGATAGCCCATCACTTTGGGAAGTTAGCCCATCCCTTTAGTGAACTAGCCCATTACCTAAAGAATGGCCCAAGTGACCACCAAAATATCTGAAAGTCTCCGGCAAATGGTTGGAGACAAAACCATGACAAAAGCCAAAAGCCACTCACATCTGCAGGCTGCTGAGAATCTCCAGCACATGGCCAAAGACAAACCCAACGCAAGCCATCAGAAAAAACCAAGGGATACTTGAGCAAAACACCCTTCAAATCAGTGTACATACCCATTTCTTTCCCCCATCAGATTTAGCCATTGAATAGGGGAGAAAATAAGGAAGAAAGATGACTGAAAATGGGAGTTCTCCATTGAGGCAGCTGCGGGAAGAGCATTGAGCTCCCAAAAATTCCCGATTTTGTGCAAATGGGTAGAGAGAATTTCACCAGATAGGATAAGTCAAAGGAATGGAGGAGAAAGGAAGGAAAAAGCATAGCCAAATTGGATAGAAACCATTAGGGTTTCTTGGAAAAGAGTAGCTTCCAGCACCTATAAAAAGATGCATTTCCTACCCATAATCTCAACCTACATCTAGAAAGCAAGCTTCATCTCTCATCTCTGAAACCTCTGCAATTTCGACCCCCATCCTTCCATCTCTCCCCATTTTCCCTTTTAGTAAAATTTTCCAAAGTTTGACAGAGTTTTTGTCGAGCTGCCGAAAACTACCCAGCACACCCACTACTTTGTCACTAGCTAAAACAACAACATCCAGATTGGTGAAGGTAACCAAGGTGTTTCCTAAGGCCCTATTGTCCTTTCAAAGCATTCTTGGGGCTTGATCTCTGAACTCAGGCATAGGGGATAACTTCATCAATTCGCTCCTTATGGCAGCCCAGCCCATTTATAGTTGCCGGAAGAAGAAAGGCCCTACAATGTGCTAGGTGATATTAGAATTGAGTGTGAGCCATTTACTAGAGTGATACCAAATGTTGACAAATTTGATGACCTAGTGGGTGATTTTGGGAGTGAAAATATTAGAGATAGGTGTGAAGATATATGGATTGATTGATTGTTGTATTGTATGACATTAGTTTTGCAGTTAATTGTATGATATTAATTAATAGCTCTTTATATCATTTTAATTCTTATCACTTTTTCATTATGCAGGATTTGCGCAGGACAAATCAAAAATTAAAAATATTGGATTAAAGGTGAAAATACGACGGTTTAGTTAAAAAATCACAAAAACAGACGTCTAAGATTTTTACAAACGACGTGGAATGGAAATGCAGAAGACCGTAAGAAATAAAAACTGCCATTTGGAAAAGAAAACACGTCGGTTAATTAAAATTAAATTACAAGTGGTTAATAGATATTAACAACAATGACGGTCATGAAAATAATGCACGTCATATATTTAAGAATAACACGAAGGAAATGTTCTCCAACCGAAGAATTTGGTAAACACTACTTCCACCGATTAATAATTACCGTCGTCTAAAGAGGGAAATAAAGGCAACTTAGTTCCATTAACTGTCGTGACAACTCTTTTGCACTTCGGTTAGTCTAAAACAATTGACGTCTCAAAGAATACACATGTCAAAGAGGGTTATAAAAGCGACTTTTAAAAGGCCAACCACGTCAAGGTCTATACAAAAACTGATGTGGTAAGTGAATTACAACGTTGAACAATTGGATTCTTGGGATGTAGTGAAGGATTTAACCACGTCCGTTATTTTACATGAACCGCTATTCAAGCTCTAATCCATGACGTTTCTTTTCCTGTTCACCTTCAAAATAATTTTTAATGTTTGCGGGTCACCACAGGAGTTGTGGTTAGGAATTGTTACATCGGTTTTCAGTAAAGTTGTGCCATGTTAAAAATTTCAGACGTCAGTTTTTAAAAAAAAGCGTTGTCTAACTTTGTCCAAGGGGCTTTTTTTTTATCATTTAAACGTCGATTCTCGCAAGAAACATACGCGGAATATATTTAACGAGGCGGTGTTTTCCTGCATAGCGACGTGGAAAAACTTATAAGCGACGGTTATTCCACATGCGTGTCGTGGTTAACATATTTTACGTCGGTTACAGTATGATTATTGACATGTAATATACACGTATGTTCTTTTCTGTAAGCGTCGCCTAAGTTTGTTGAAGTTTTCTATTTTTTGTGTTTTTATATATTTTAGACGTTAGTTTTTTTATTTAGTGAACGTAGTATATGTTAACCACGATGGTTTCTAGGTTATACATGACGGTATTCATTCAATTAGAGACATGGATAAGATTCTTTAAGTCGATGTTTATGTTCTTCTTGACATGTAACAGTCTTTAGATGTCTCTGTTCTCCTAAAACTGTCGTCTAATGTTGTCGAAGTTTTCATTTTATGCTATTTATATAGTACTTAGATGTTAGTTTTTATTTTTGTATGATGTTGAATGTCTTAACGATGTCGGTTATTTGCCATCGTTGTTTTATATATCAAAACATGACGGTCGATTTCACGACGGTTTGAAAACCTTCTAGACGACGGTGGATTCCAGTCGTCTATTTCAATTTTTGTAGTAGTGCTTGTGCACTTCTTCATTTAGGATATATTTGTGGCGGGCATAGATACAACTTTGGCCACATTGGAATGAGCAATGGCTGAGCTACTAAGTAACCCTGAAAAAACTCTCAAAAGCTCAAGAGGAGCTAGAGCAAGTCATCGGCAAAGGAATACCAGTAGAGGAATCGGACATTGCTCGACTTCCTTATTTACAAGCAATAATCAAAAAAACCTTTTGGCTGCACCCACCAGTTCCATTTATCCCCTACAGAGCCGAAGCAGCCGAAGCAGACGTAGCAATCTGTGCCTACATTGTACTAAAGGGTGCGCAAGTGTTGGCGAATGCATGGGCCATTGGCAAAGACCCCGACATTTGGGATAACACTACCTTATTTATGCCAGAGAGGTTCTTGGGAATGGATATTAATGTTACAGGAAAATTTTTTGAGCTTATTTTGTTTTGGGGTTGGGAGGATGACACAGCACAAGCAAATAGGTTTTCAAGTGAAAACCCTAAAGAACAATAATCTGGAATCCACCAAGAAGATAGAGAAAAAATTTATTTTGAATTATTTGATAAAATTCGAGATATAAATTCAACCAAGCATGACGGCTGAATAAATACCATGTTCTCAGCCATTGGATTTCCCTGGGGAGTTATTGAAAACTTAACAGAAAATAAACGGAAATTCTGTAAATTGAATAAAATCTTTAATGCACTTTTGGAAGGCCAAAAGTCCTCAGAAGCCCAAAATCCACCATAGGTAACAACAAAGTAGAAAGTTGGACTCGTGTCATTGTTCCCTTTTCGAGAAGGTATTATGTGACCCAATCGAAGCTTGGAGGCCAAATCTATAAATTTCCGCTGCATCCTTTTTCCCTTCTTCGCTCCAATTCTTCTTCAATCCATTCTGTCATTTGTTATACATCAGTCCCCTCCACCTCCGAAGAACTCGACCTCGAGTTATGTTCAGGATAAAAGGTTTCATCTTCATGAAACTCATACAAATCAGCAACATTAAAAGTATGGGAAATTCCCATGGAATATGGTAATTCAATAACATAGGCATTGTCATTGATTTTTTTAGCGCCTTGTAAGGACCATATTTCTTAGGCTTGAACTTGCTATATGTACCAACACGGCACTTCTCCATCCTCAAAAACACCATCACAGGATCACCTTCTTAGAACACCTTAACTGGCCTATACTTGTCTGCAGTGGTTTTGTACTTAGCATTAGTTTGCTCGAGTTTTTGCTTCACTTCATCTCGAACAACCACCACTTCTTCAACCAAATTTCCTGCTGCAACACTGATTTTCTGGCCTCTAGGAAACTTCACTAGATTTACAACATGATTAGGCACAGCAGTATAAACAATGGAAAACGGTGACTTCTCGGTTGCACTATGAACTGTACTATTGTATGCAAACTCCACCTGTGGCAGTGCATAATCCCATTGTTTTGGCTTCTCTCCGCAAATACTTCGCACCATATTTCCCAATGTTCAATTGGTTACCTCAATCTGGTCGTCAGTTTGAGGATGGGCTGTGCTACTATGGTTCAAAGTAGTCCCAAACATTCTCCACAAAGTGATCCAAAAATGGCTCAAAATTTGTCTCATGGTCAGAATTTATAGATGTAGGTACTCCATGCAAGCGAAAAACCTCCCTAAAAATAATTTGGCTATATTGGATGCATTAGTAGTCTTCTTGCAGACTATGAAATGTGCCATTTTTAAGAATCGATCAACCACCACAAAAACTAAATCCACACCTCTCTAAGTTCAAGGCAAACTAAGGACAAACTCCATAGCAAGATCCTGCCAGGTATCATTAGGAAATGGTAAAGGCATGTATAATCCAGTGTTTTGTACATGTCCCTTCGAAACCTGACAAATATAACATTTGTGCACAATTGTTCCAACATCACGCTTCAACTGTGGCCAATAAAATCTCTCCTCCAATCCTGCTATTGTTTTATTGAGGCCTAAGTAGCCACTCAACCCTCCTCCGTGAAAATTCCGAATGAGCTTCTCCCTTAAGGAGGAAACAAGAATGCATAACAGGTTGGCCTTGAACAAATACCCTTCATTAAGAAAGAAATCTGCCATTGGCTTATGATCAGCACATTTAGCCCATATGTCCTTGAAATCATCATCATCTTCATATAAATCCTTTAGACACTCGAACCCCACAATTTCTTGAGTAAGAGTAACTAACAAAGAAGCCCTTCTACTCAGCGGGTTAGCCACACAATTTGAGGTGCCAGAAGTATGCTTGATAACAAATGAAAATTTGTGCAAAAAAGTCACCCATCTGGCATGCATTTTATCTATATGTTTCTGGGTGTTAATATACTTCAAAGCTTGATGATCTATAAACAAAACAAATTCCTTATGAATAAGATAGTGCTTCCATTGTTTCAAAGCCCGAACAACTGCATAAAATTCTTGGTCATAAGTACTCCACTTTTGACAGGCATTGCTCAACTTTTCAGAAAAGAAAGTAGTTGGTCTCTAATCTTGAGATAGCACGGCTCCCACTCCCATGCCACTTGCATCACATTCAACTTCGAACACTTCTCAAAATTTGGAAGAGCTAGAACCGGGGCGATGCAAAGTTTTTCTTTTACAAGAGCAAAACTATTTTCTTGCTCTTCTCCCTAATTGAACCTGCCATTCTTCAAACATTCAGTAATAGGTGCGACAATGGAACTGAAATGCAGCACAAACCTCATGTAAAAAGTGGCCAAACCATGGAAACTTTGAACTTCAAAGACTGTTTTTGGAGTTGGCCAGTCAAGAATTAGTTCGATCTTCTCATCATCCACCTGGATACCATTTTCACCAACCACAAAACCCAAAAACAGTAGCTTATGTCTGTAAAAAGTACATTTTTTCATATTCAAATATAGCTTATTTTCTTTCAAAACTCCTAGTACTTGTCTCAAATGCATGAGATGTTCCTCTTTTGTGGTGCTTTAAATTAAAATATCATCAAAATAAACCACGATAAAAGAGCCAATAAATGGACGAAGAAACTAATTCATAAGTCTCATGAAGGTGCTAGGTGCATTTGACAATCCGAAGGACATCACCAGCCATTCATATAACCCTTCCTTACTCTTAAATGCTATTTTCCACTCATCGCCTGGCCTGATGCGAATATGGTGATATCCGCTGTGCAAATCCATTTTGGAAAACATCTTAGAGCCTTCAAGCACATCCAATATATCTTCCAATCGTGGGATGAGAAATTTGAATTTTATTGTAATCTTGTTGATTGGTCAACTATCAACACACATACGCCAAGACTGATCTTTCTTTGGAACAAGAAGGATTGGAACTACACAGGGACTCAAGCTCTCCCTGATAAAACCCTTATGTAACAAATCTTAAATTTGCTCTCTTAGAATGTCGTTCTCCTTAGGGCTCATGCGATAATGTGGCAGATTTAGTAGACTAGCCCCAGGTACCAAATCAATGTGGTGTTGTATCTCTCAAATGTGGCAGCTTGTCAGAAATCAGTTCCTTTAATTTTTTCAAAAATCTTTTGCACTTTAGGAGGAATTACATTTTCTTCTTTGCTAGCCTTCAATAGTCCTTTCAACACCATGGGACAAAAAGAATATGCTTATTTTATTACCTCATTTAACTCTTGCTCGCTGTTAATCAGACTTAGAAAACTAGAACTCTTAGTTTTGGGTTCATTGATTTTTTTGAGGACACTATAGTAGCCATCGCAATCTTGTGGTTGTTCCAGTAAATCAAGATCACATTATCTCGACCCTTAAAGGTTGCATCAACATCATATTGCCAGGGTCGGCCCAACAAGATATGACATGCATCCATATCAATAACATCACATACGACTTCATCTTTGTAATGCTTACCAATGGAGGGTGGCGCATGGCAAGTCTCAGCAACACAAGCTGAAGGTCTTTTTTTAACCCAACCCAGTGAATAAGGGCTGATATGTGGTTGTGTTGGAAGCTGCAAACGCTCCACCAATTTTTTTGACACAAAATTCTTGCAACTCCCATTGTCTACGATCACATCACAGATTTTATTTTTGATTGAGCAAAGAGAACGGAAAATGCTATGTCGCTGCCCTTCCTTGTTGCCAAAAGAACTCGCTGTAAAACCAAAGTAAGCCTTTCTATTCCCTCCTCAATTGCAAACTTAGCCCCTGCATAATCATCGTCTACAACTTTGTCGTTTTCTTCATCATCACCAACATCTTTTATAAAATTAGCTTGCCTCCCGCTCGGGACAAACGTGGGAACGATGCCCTGGATTTTGGCATCGGTAACAAATATCCGTCATGGGCTTACACTACTACAAAAAACACTTTGCGCGACGAAATAAGTTTGTTGTGCAAAATACAATTTCGTCGCACAAAACCTGTGCGACGAAAATTTCGTCCCGCAAAACTCGTGAAGAAAGGGTTTGCGTGATGAACCTTAACGTCTCGCAAATCCACCTTGACCAACGAAAAATATTGGTTGTGCAAAGTTTTGCGCAACAAAAAGTATTAGTCGAGCACAATTTTGGGCGACGGAAAATATTGGTTGCGCAAAGTTTTGCGTGATGAAAAGTATTGGTGGCGCAAAGTTTTGCGCGACGAAAAATATTGGTCACTCAAAGTTTTGCGCGACAACTTTAAAAATAAAAATAAAAATTCCCGCGTCTCATTTTTGGTACCTGCCCAAATTTTTAAAGTTTTGCCAACGAATAATAACGTCGCGCAAATATTTTTTGTGTTTTAAAATTTTTTAATTAAAATAAACTAATTTAATAGTTTACGTGACAAAATATTTTGTTGCGCAAGGTTTTCGACTTTTTGTTTTATTATTTCTTTAATTATATTAATTTTTTCAAATTTTGACTTTTGAAATTTAATTTAATTGTATGATTTTTTTAAATTACTTTAATTTAAATTGACATATTCAAAATAAAATTACATATGAAAAATAGTGATCAAATTATCCAATAAATATATATATAATATTCAAAATGTACACATAAATTAACGAAGTACAATAATAAAATCCTAATACAAGCCTATTGTGGTGCTAGTGGCGGATTATATTTTTCGATAGTGTCCTAATTCCTCAACTTTAAGCCGTCAAAGTCTCGATCATAAATAAAAAAAAAAAAAAAAAAAAAAAAAAAAAAAAAAAAAAAATAACAAAAAAAAAAAAAAAAAGGCATAATCTCCCCTAAAATTGTTATACCACAAATCCAAGCCAAACTCCAATCCTCACCCTATACTCAACCCCAAACCCCTCACAAACTCAAAACTAACTCCAAAAGCACATGTTAATGAAAAAAATTTAAAATTTGGAGAGAATATACATTTTGGCAAGATTGAGAGTAAGTGAGAATGAGAGGGAGAAGTGAATGTGAGAGAATTAGAGAAGATAGTGAGAGAGAGATGAGAGAGTGAGAGATAGTGAAAAGAGAGATGAGAGAGTGAGTGAGAGGAGTGAGTGTGAGAGAAAGGGTGGGATTTGGGGAGAGGGAAAGAGAGAGGAGAGGTAACAGTAGAGAAAGACATTGAGAAAATGGTGGAGGAGTTATTTTGGTTTTAAAAACCGTATCACTTTGCGCGACGAAAAATATATATTGGTGGCGCACAGTTTTGCGCGACGAAAAATATTGGTCGCGCAAAGTCTAAAAAAAATTTTAAAATTTTATTTTTCCGCTTCCCATTTTTGGTATCCGCCCAAATTTTTAAAGTTTTGTGTGACGAAAAATATTCGAATATTGGTTGGGCAAAATTTTGCGTGAAGAAAAAAATTGGTCGCGCAACACACTTCGTCACTAAAGACTTTGTGCAACGAAGTTTATTATTTCGTCCCGCAAAGTCACTTTGAGCGATGATGCATTGTTGTCGCGCAAAGTGACTTTGTGTGACGAATTTTTTTTCGTCGTGCAAAATTTGGTCACGCAAGACTTTGAGTGACGAAGTATTGTCGTAAAGCAAAAGTTTGTCGCGCAAAGTGACTTTGCGTGACGAATTGTTTTTCATTGCTCAAAATTTGGTCGTGCAAGACTTTAAGCGACGAAATATTGTCGTCGCGCAAAGTGACTTTGTGTGACGAATTGTTTTTCGTCGCTCAAATTTTGGTCCCGCAAGACTTTGAGCGACGAAGTTTGTAGTTTCATCGGGCAAAGTGACATTGAGTGACGAATAGTTTTTCGTCGCGCAAATTTTGGTCACGCAAGGTTTTTTTTTTACTAGTGTTAGCATACGAGTTCTCCTTCTGGGGCTAGTTCCGGGTCTGCACTCTATTGGAAGTTGTTCCATTTTCGAGAAGGTATTATGCGACCCAATCGGAACTCGGACGCCAAATCTGTAAATTCCCACTACGTCCTTTTTCCCTTCTTCGCACTAATTCTTCTTCAATCCATTCAACCATTTGTTCTACATCAGAGGAGAATCCGTCTTGGCTTGCCATTGGCAATGGGAATGATACACTTGATGTTGGGTTCACTTATAGACTCCTTTGATTGGAAGCTTGAAGATGTGAGGTTGTACCAGAGCAAAGACCATGAGTGCGGAAGGCAAGTTTGGCCTCAGTTTACACACGGCCTACCCTCTGAGAGCTGTGTCCAAGAGGTGAACCTAGCTAATGATAATGGTTTTTCTTCTTTTCACTTTAAAAAACGAAAAAAAAGGAAAAAAGAAAAGAAAAAAAAAGGCAACAGTCACGTTTTTTGAGTCACTAAATTGATTTTGGTGATAGTTGGGTGGCTGGTCAATGGTTTTGCTTGCTTGTCACCATTATGTCTTTTCTTCTTATTGTTAGGTTTTGTATTTGAAATGGCCTGCATGGATTTTCTGAGGCTTTTATCGGCTCACAACTGAACTTAGATCTGAATCTCTAAGATTTTCTTACATGTATCGCATATCTATTTTTTTGTTTCGGAATTTGTTTGGTTACCGAGAAAATGAAGAATAATAATTAGTTTTAAATTCAATGTTTTGTCTTGATATATTCTTTGCTATTGTCTGATGCAGGAAGACATGAGATGAGATGAGAGATAAAAAATATGGATGTAGAGACATGTTGCCACTGCTGGATTCAAAGGTTAAGTTATTTTTTTCTTGATTTTGTTTTTCCTAACCTTCATTATATACCAAACTGAAAATACTGATCAGTAACTGGTGAAAAAAAAAAATCTCTTTCAGGATCTATTAAGGATTCAGTTGTGAGAAGGAAGGATGGAATTGCTCAATACTTGCTTGCTATTAAGGACTTATAATTACCTTTGCAAGGCCTAGCCTTATGTATTTACACAGAGCTTGGATTTGGATTCAGGAATGGAAATACTGTTGAGTTGGAACAATATGGTATAAAATTGGCCAATATAATATTTTAATGATTTTTTAGAAAATGAAAAGTAATTAGAAATTGTTATTATTTTGAGTAATATAATACACAAGCTATACACTTCTTATACAGATACAAATACAAATACCAGAATTAATATATGTTAGTCAAATCAAACAAAGTAATAAAATATTATGATTCGACATGATGTTCAGCTCTTAATTGCAGCTATAGAAAGTCAACAATTTGTGTCACCAAACTCTCTCATAGAGGTGTCAAATGAACTGGGCCAGCCTGACATGGCACGAACATGGTCCACTTAAGTAAGATACAACATGGTCCATATCTTTGGGTCGTGCCGGGATTAAGTAATTAGGTCTAATGGGCGGGGCCGGCTTCTAACCTGTTCCAACCCAAAATCCAACAAGCCGGCTTGTTTAAAGCCCATTTATTTAAATTATACTTGTTTTAGAGAAAAATAATACGTAATATTATTGCATATATATATATCTTAAATTCAAGACTATTTCTTTTCTCTAATAATCTATATATATATATAAAGCAAAAGGTAGAGAATAGTAAAACATTCAAAATACTAGAAAATTCCCTTGGTTAATGCAAACATTAAGAATTCAAATTATTAATTAAATGAGGATAATATGGTAAATTCACACATTTTCATGTTAAAGAAATTAAAATTAAAAGAAAAATTAGATAATGGATCATATTTTTATGGAATACAACTACCCATTATCTTTTTTAATTCTAAAATAAATTTAATTTTTTTTTTTAAAAAAGCCTCTCGCAAGAGAGGAAGCGCGTGTGGAGATGCTAGTATATATTAAAAATTAATGTTTTCTTTATATATAAAATAATGATTTTATTTTTCAAGTTTCAATTTTTAAAATCCAAACAATAATCTAGCAATTTTCTATTTAAATGTACTTTAAATAAAGTTATTGACCTCTTTTTTCTTTTTCTTTTTTTATTTCTTTTTTTTTAACAAATAATAAATCTTATTAGCATATACATAATTGTAAAAAAATTATTTAAATTAAGTTGTAAAAAAAATTACAAAAAAAAAAAGCAATACATAAGTCAAATTTGGCGTAGGTCCATATCGACCCATTTAATGGCCCAAGCTCATATGGACTTGGGCCTTGAGCTCAAGCCAAAATTGATGATTTTCTTAAATGGGCGGGATTGATGTACACCATTACATGTTGGTTTTAAGCAGCAGATGTCTTTTTTTGTCAACTAAAAGCACTTTTGTGTTGTAAAATAAACGGGATTATGCGAGAATATTGAGATGTGCGTAAAATAAATGAGATACAATATTTAACGAGGTTTGGCCTTTCCTATGTCCTCGGAGAGCAGCATTAGTAATTTTTCCACTATGTAAAATAATAGGGCTACAATTTTAGTGTTTACAATATATGTAGCTCACTGATTTTTCTCTCTTGGAGAATTTTTCTCTGCTATCTTTTTCTTTCCACTCACTCACCCTCTTTCTTCCCTTCCTTTCTTTCCTCTCTGCCTGGTGTCACGGATCGCACATAAGTGAGCGCTATCGTGATTCCATAGTCGGCAGTGTAGTGGGCACTTCGACGAGGACGTTGACACTATCAGTGGGGGAGAATGTCACGGGTCACACATAAGCAAGTGCTACTGTGACTCCGTTGGGACATCTACATGCTTATGAGGTAATCTAAGTGTGGAAGAGTGAGAGCTTAAGAGCTAGAATGGTTGGTGTTGGCTAGGTTGTACTTGTAAAGGGTATTTTGGGTATTTTCAAATGTTATGGGAGGAACCTAAGGGATCTAAGAATACTCGGACGTTCGTGATGTTGAGACGCAGGCAATGCAATTGACAGTTCGCCATTCGGAGTTCGTATGAAGGAGTTATGCCCAATTATGACTCATCGTGCATAGGTGATGTTTCCTCCTGGCAGAAGGCTAAATGCATAAAATGCTATATAGGGGGTGACATGGTGTCATGCTTTCCACCACCACCCCTGGTGCTTACACCCTTGTGGCACTAAGCGAGCATCTTTATGACATTAGAGGTAGTCATAAGGGCGGGCATAAGATTGTTGAAGGATAATTTGTGTCTCTGAGGGAAAGGAATTCCCGAGGATAGTACGAACACGCGAGCCCGTTCGTATTGTACATCGTTGCGAAGAGTGTGGTCAACGTATGGCATTCACTATGCTGTCGGCTAGTGAGGCATTTGACAATACTCGATGGACTTGGCTTGGGTTCGGCCTTGTCTAATATGGAATGAAGATATTTGGATGCCGGCACACATAGGTTGCAACCCCATGCAATTCATAAATGATTATGTGGGACATTTGGAATGCATGTGTCACCAAGGTTTGGGCGACATGCAAGTATGACAGCCTGCGTGTATAGCTTGAGGATGTGGGCTATCTTGATTGCTAAATGAATGACGGACAGAAGTGTGGGTAAACCGATGGTGTGTTGGATCGCTATGTCTTGACTTGGACATGAGCGAGCCACGAGTTAAGCATACGACGTGGTCGATGCAATTAACGTGTCTTATGCAACGCTTGATGTATGGGCGTCGAGGGTTCATTGCCGGATGCGGGGTGATTGTATTGTCACAAGGAAGTGTGACTTGTTGTTTAGCCATGAGGCGTGGCACCCATGAGAGACGACACTTGATGGTGAACCTCTCACGGAGTTGTGAGAGTCATGAATATCATGAAGATGGGAGAAGGCTGATTGGGATCCGAACGGATCCTGGGCTGCATGGGTGTGCTTTGAGAGGCGAAATATGTGTTTTGCTTCCGCCACGCCACGCCGCTCGCTCATCTTGTGACACTGGACTCTCATTTCTTAGATGGTTGGTGTGTATCATGCAAGGGGAGGATGAAGCCTTTTTATAGGAAAATTTGATAGCTTCCAGTGAGTGTGCAATAAACTCATGCACCAAAGTCTTCAAACAAATAGTAAGTGGGCTCCACTACTTTATTCTTTACAACACTCCACCTTGAAGACCACAAATAATATGTTGGTTGCTTCATCATACTTTGCTTGGAGAAAAGCTCAGTGAGGTAGAAAACTAATGGAAGAAAGAAGAGTACAACAATCAATATAGCATACTTCTGGATGCTCCCCCTAATGAATATCTCCCCCTGATGTCTTCATGACTATCTTTCTAAAGGGAAGATCTTTACGATTGAGTGAGGGATGTAACCATCAACAATTCATGTAGTTGAGTAAGTAAATATATTTCTAGTGAGCTATCTCTATGTAAATCATAGAAATTTCTAGAGTCTGTGTATCCAACAAAACCTGGGCTATTTGTAAATTCACTTGAAAAGAATATGCCCGTATATGGTGTTATGCGGAGATAGTATCAAATATGCCTCATATCATCCCAAAGTGATGGTGACGGAGTTGAGCTTTATCTGGAAAATACAATGTCTGGTCTAGTATACTTTCGAAAAATCATTTAATTGCCCAACAGATAATCCACATAAAAATGCTTCAATACTTTCTTAGTATAAGCAAGAATCTCGTTGGCATAATGCTCGATTTTTAGGCCGAGACAAATATTTCTTGAACTCTTCAGGAGTTTTGATCAATTATCAACTCTTCAGGAGTTGTAATGTGTTGCAACCATATCATAATTAATGTACTCATTGAGGCAATTTATACATATTAGTATTGAGTACAAGATTTGTCCTTCAGGCACATGTCGGCAGGGATATTCCTTGTTTCTACCAAAAACATTGTGTCATACAAAGTGGGTATATTCCTCTTTATTCTGAACACCCAAGTATAACCTTTAGGGTTAACATCTTTAGGGGTTTGTGCTATAGGTTTGTTCTTTCACGTTCATTCTCATTTGTAATGGAATTGCCTTTTCCCATTTTTGGCCAATGATATTGTCGACATTTAATTATAGAACGTGGTACCAATCAACATAGCCCATTGATGATTTGAGTGGCTACTCCAAAACTAAAAATTGTTATTCATCAATTCGTGATCCCACCATTCTCATGTGCATGCGCATGGGGCTTTTTATTGTCTCTTTCTAAACAGACATATCTTATAAGATGAAATATGTGAGAATGTGGATCATAACCTCCAATGGAGCGTTATTTTATAGTAGGGCTTGGATAATCTCCATTTCGGGAGTTGGAACATTTAGAACCCATATATCTGTCATGTTGCAGGCATGCCATAAATTAATACACACATGTCAATGAATTGTCCTTCTGGGAATTTAAACCATATAATTTGCTACGCATTTGGCGTGCCCCTTATTAATATTGACATGTTAATGGATTGTACTTCTAGGACTTCAATCCATATCATTTGCTACGCAACAGGCGTGCATCATATTGATCACTGCTATATCCATGTTCTGTTCTTATGGGACTTTAATTTATGCAGTGTATTATCAATGTATTCAACTTGCAATATGTGAAATTTACATTAATAATTCATAAATACATATCAGAATGATACAAGTCATTCTTCTGGAATGGTCATAATACAAGTCGTTCTTCTGGAACGATCTATAATGCAAGTCATTCTTTTGGAATGGTCCTTTGCATGGCATTCTTCTGGAATGACCTTATCTCCCCATTTGGTTACCTTTGAGGATGTTGTACAAAATATCAAAATAAGAGTACAAGCATGAAATAACACAAGTATTGCTTACATCCTTAGGTGGGAGAAACTTTGCTCAAAATATCATTCAAGCTCGTATTGGCTCAGCAAACATAATGTAGTGCTTGATGATCTAGTTTTGTCCTGCAAGAGCAAAAATCACAATTCTTCTGTCTCTGTCAAAAAAACATAACCCTCAGTGTTAGGATCACTACATGGATTCTTTCTTTAGATGTTCGTTCTAAAGAAATAAAATCCATTATGTGGTCGTCTTTATAGCTCCCTGACATTGCTGAAACGTGATTAGGGATAGTCTCACTTCCTGAATGGATGATCAGAGATAGTCTCGCTTCTCAAGTACATCGAGTGCTCACTGATAGGAAAAACATGTGGATATTGCATCACTATATATGGAGAACTGGAGAAAATTGGATGTATTCTGCAAAGAAAATTTCATTAGTAACATATTTATACATAAATGAGAGGAATAGTTAGGTCCGGTGAATCCGCAAAGCAAGATCGGCTTTGACTAAAATAATCATTGAAAACGCCTAAAGTACCAACAAACATTAATGGAGGTCGCGTGAAGTTTTGGAATCTGGAAAAGAAAAAAAGAATATGGGGATCCGAGAAAATATTGGGATCTTGAAAACAGTGCCACATTTCCGTCTATAGATATTGCCTCTACAAGGCCTGATTTGTGTTTCAACTCAACTTCCTTCCATTTTCTAAAAATTCAGCTTTTATAAGACTTTCCTCGAAACCCTCTTAGTGGCTTCCTCTTCTTCTCGCCCAAATCATTTCGATTTAAATGTTGTCCCCAAAACAACCTGTGACGCCAAAGTCTGGCGTCCATCATTTGTATCCCAAAATCGTCATCTCATAGTTAATGATTCTGTGATGATGAATGATACGACTGCTGTCATAGTAGCTAGGAATTTCCTTACTCCAATGGATGAAATACTGTTAAAAAGAAGGTCTGACGAAGAGGCTATTGATGACTCAATGGCTTTTAGCATTTAGAGTGCTGCTTCTGTTTCTAACATGGCTGATCGTTTGCGTGCTAGAGCAAACAAGATTCAGGAGCTGAACACTGAAAATTCGTCTCTCCAGAGAATGTTTCATGAGTCTCAACAAGAGGTTGAGAAACTTAAAGAGGAAAATAAGGCCTTGTTGAAACTGGTGAGTTCATACTCTATTGATACGTGGACAAGGCTTGACATGCTGTAGATTTCCAATGAAAAGATTCTAGGAGACCACGAAAGGCTCATGGCTAAGCTTAAGAGGCGCCGTCCTCTTCCTTCAGAGGCTTCCAGAACATAATGGAATTTTATAGATTTTGCAGAGCCTGCTCTTTCCTTGCAAGTGAAAAGAATCTATCTGTTGTATACTCATTTCTTGTTATAATAATTTGGTAAATTCTTAAACTTGCACCTGTGGTTTTTGTGTCTTTTCAAAATGACGGTTTGGAACCTTGTGCCTTTTCAAATAACCACATAAAATCTCTCAAATTACATATTTCAATGCATGTGAGTACGAAACTTCTGGCCCCGGTTAAACACGACTTGAAAATTTATTTGCCTTTTTCAAATGGGCATGAAATATAAATTGAGTAAAAGCCATGATAATATTGCAATATAGTAGTGAAGAGCATTAACTACTATATACCCAAAACTTTAGGTTTGGGATCTCCCATATATTTGGATCCACGGGCTTCCGGCACAAATCATATAATATAACAAAATATGTGGGGAGCCTCAATTCATCATTTGAGGTTTATATTGATATTATCCATTTCACGGTGTATTCTTAACAACCGGAATTCACAAAATATATTTCTTCCTTGAGGTGTCGAGATAACAGAATCAAACCTTAATAAATTCATCATTTTCTTATGCCAAAGAAATATGTGGTGTACCACAATTTGCAATAATACCTCAAGGGTTGTCCATTTAACTATTGGAACTTCAAGTTCTCAATATTGTTGTCAGATTTTGAACTTCAGTCCAAAATCGCACATTTTCATGGTATAGACATTCAATACTCTTAGATTTTGAACTTCGGGCCAAAATCACATATTCTCATGGTATAGACATTTTTATAATTTCCTGTATATATTTCGGGACTTCAGGCCCTTAATTGTTCATGTTTTGAGGAACTTTTGGCATCTCATTTAATTGCTCATCCATGAGTTTAAGGAATTGCAGGTTCCCTTTTGTATATAGTGACAGTTTACCCAAAATGGTTAATATTTATGTATACGTCACTATTCATGTATACGGTACTATTCATTAGGTCATGAATACGTGTCTATTCATGCGTACAATTCATTTGCCAGTATAATTACTATTCATGTGTATGGCACTATTAACCAATACGACACTGTTACATTATCAAGGAACTCCAAGTCCTTATTTACATGCCAAGGATCAAGGATCTTCAGGTCCGATCACTTGTTTACAAATATAGTACCGGAGAGATTGCCAGCTCTCATATTATTATCATCATCAAGGATCTTCAGGTCCTGATGTAGTTGTATGATGAGGATCAAGGAACTTCTGGTCATGATCTTTGTATAATGTAAAACTCATCATATTACACAATTAATTCATAAAATAAATTTCTTGTAAATAAAGTGTTGGTATGGACGATAATCCCGTATCATACTTTAAATAAATGTAAATGTGCGGTAAAGTAAATTCATAAATTAAATTGCCTCATGTATGGACGTTAATCCCGCACTATACTTTAAACAATAAAGTAAATGTGCGATAAAGTAAACGTGCTGATATGGGCACTAATTCTACTTCATACTATTAAATAAAAAGTAAAGGCAATTGTGTGGACGATAAACTCGCGCCACACCTTTAAATAAATACTGTTATATGGGTAATAAACTTATACCATATAGTAAATAAATTGTATGAATCATGAACCTACACCATACAGTAAATAAAGTAAATACGGGGTTAAAAACCACCACTAAAAATATAGAAGGTGAGACCGTCCATTTGTATGCGGGGTTACCATCAACTTTTCATATTAATATTATATATAGTGGGCTTGATCAACCCCTTTTTTTTTTTTTTTTTTTTTTTTTTTTTTTTTTTTTTTTTCTTTCGTGGGTTCTTCTCAATACTAGAGGAAATAGTATAATATTATTATACTAATATATGTAACTAAAAAAAAGTAGAGACAAACCTTAGTGCTAGTCATTCACGTTTGTCTGCTCCCTTAAATCAATTGCTCTTCACAGAAGTCTTATCGCTTATATGGCCATCAGAATTCTTTATCTTTGGTAGAATTATGGCATAGGTGACTTAGAAGAAGTTTTGTGAACCAAGTATGGTTCTTAAATCTGTGAAGTGGGTTATCTAGGAAAAAGATCTCATCAAGCCTATGCTTGAGTTTTTGCAAGGTGGTCTGTTTTGGAATTTAATAACTATCAAGAGAGAGACTAAAACAGGGGGGGTTTGATAGGAGACTCAGCTGGTATTTGGGAGATATTTGTGCTGATAACATGTTGTAAAATAAACGGGAATATGCGAGAATATTGAGATGTGCGTAAAGTAAATGAGATACAATATTTAACAAGGTTCGGCCTTGCATACGTCCTCGGAGAGCAGCAGCAGTAACTTTTTCACTGTGTAAAATAATAGGGCTACAACTTTAGTGTTTATAATATATGTGGCTCACTGATTTTTCTCTCTTGGAGAATTTTTCTCTGCTCTCTTTTTCTCTCCACTCACTCACCCTCTTTCTTCCCTTCCTTTCTTTCCTCTCTTCCTGAGCTCTCATTTCTTCTCAGATGGTTGGTGTGTATCACACAAGGGAAGGATGAAGCCTTTTGATAGGAAAAGTTGATAGCTTCCAGTGAGTGTGCAATAAACTCATGCACCAAAGTCTTCAAACAAATAGTAAGTGGGCTCCACTACTTTATTCTTTACAACATTTTGTTAATTCAAAAGTTTAGTTTTAGTGGGATTAATAAATTATTAATACTGTAGGAGACAGTAGATAGATAATTGGAGAAAAAAAAATTGCGTTTATTAAACCAATGGGTAACAGTAATTAATCATAGTTAAACCAATGGGTGACAGTAACAGTTTCACAACAATTGATCATTACGAAAATTCTGTGGTGCATCGGCTGTACCGGTACAGCCGATGATCCAACGGCTGAGATTCCATGTTAAAAAGCATGGCTGAGATTGAATGACTTAATAACCTGTTGAGCCCTAGTTATTGAACATGTGAGTGGCATGTGAGGAAAGAGAAAGGGAGGTTTGGAGGAGGAAGAAGACGCGCAGAGAGAGGCAAGATGAAGAAGACGCGCAGGTTTGGAGAAGAAGACGCGCGCTCTCCCCTGTAGTTGGCAAAATCGAAAATTCTAAGACTCCATCCAATCCTTAGCGCCTCCAGGAACTCTTCTCTTTGCTTGCCCAAATCCAATCCCTAGCTCCTCCAAGAACTCTTTTCTCTGCTTGCCCACTGTCTCTGCTTGCTGAAGAACTCTTGGATCTGCTTCACCAGGAAGTCATCTCTCTCAGTTGCCCAAATCCATCCTAAGCGTGTCCAACTCTTATTTGTGCTTGGGCAAAACGCATCTGCAAGAAGGTAATGCTCATTGAATTGAGGTCCTCAACTCTTCTCTTTGGTTGCCCAAAACTCATATGCAGATACGGAATTGATGGTGGGTCCAACCTCCATGATGAAATGGTCATCAAATTGGAGTTATTGAATTAATTCAGTTTCTTCTGTTGGCATTGTCTGATATTGAATTTCAATTTCGTAGGGCAGTGGATTTGTAATAACAACGTGGTTGTAAAGATTTTGAAGATCCTTGGCTGTTAACGACGACATTTGAGTTTGTGGCAAAAGGAAGTGCAAGGAGGAGGCTTTGAAAGTATGGAAACATCAAGTAAGATTTCAAAGAAACCTTTTTTTTGGTTTAGGACTTGAATGTATTTTGGGTAATGAGTTGATCCAATTGCATGTTTTTTGTTGCGAAATAGTTATACGTGGTGCAATTATTGACCTGACTATATGCAATTGCATGAGATTATTCATTTGTGTTTTGTTAAGAGAAAGTATGTTAACACATAGAGTATAATGTAATTTCAGTTTGAAATTATGTTTCTCAGGCATAGAGGGGTGTGGTAAGATGGACAAGGGTGTAGAGACATCAAAGGGTGGTTGTAGTGATTCAGGGTATCTGGGTGGTTGTGAAAGGTCGAGTCACAGGGCACCGGCAACAGAGAGTGGGCATATGTCGGTCGAACATATGGTTAGTCAAAGTAATGATGATAATGGTGTTGACATGATTGCACCGAGGAAAGAAGATGTTATGGGGAAAGAGTTTAAAACGATCGAATTAGCGGAAGAATATTATATGAGTTATGCAAAGGGCATTGGATTTAGCGTGAGAAAAGACAAATTGGTTCGAAATTCGGAAGGGAAAGTATGTAGGAGACGGTGGTGTTGTTCTAAAGAAGGTTTGAGAAATGAGAAGTTTAATGATCGATCAGATAGAATTCGACCACCGAAGGCAATTACAAGAGAGAATTGTTCTGCCCATTTTTGTGTGGGTTATGAGAAGAAACGTGATGTTTACGTTGTTAGGAATTTTGAACCACATCACAATCATCAACTAGCTACTCCACTTGAATCGCCATATCTCCGATGTAACCGTGTCGTTACAAAATCCGATTTAGCACAAGCAGTGGGAATGCGAAGAGCATTGTTTAGAACATGTCAAACATATGAGTATATGGTGGACCAATGTGGTGGGTATTTAAATGTTGGTTTTCAAATAAAGGATCTGTACAATAAGTTGGATGCATCACGCAGGGAAATTTTACTCGACGGTGACACAGAAGCCGCACTCTGTTACTTGAAAGCGAAAGGAGCAATGGATCCAGAATTCTTTTGTAAGTTCAGTGTTGACGAGGAAAATAGGCTTGGTAATTTGTTTTGGAGGGACTCCACTTCACTTTTGGATTACATTGCCTATGGCGACGTTCTCATATTCGACAGCACATACAAAACAAATGTTTATGACAAGCCCCTAGTGTTGTTTGTCGGTTCGAACAACTATCGGTCTACTGTAATGTTTGGTTGCGCATTATTGCAGGACGAGACATTTGAAACTTACAAGTGGTTATTGGAAACATTCATGGCATCCATGAAAGATAAGAAGCCAATATCAATATTGACGGATGGCGATGAGGCGATGCGTAAAGCCATTGATGATGTGTTTCCCATGTCTAACCATCGGTTGTGCTCATGGCATGTGTCAAGGAATGCACAGAATAACTTGAAGGA